TGCTTTATTTCTATGCAATTTTCTAATCGCTGCATTGACTTCGGCCGGTGTGATTGGGTCGTCCAGAACGGGCACGTACATATCTGAATTCGGAATTTCCATGTCAGTATACCCGGTGGGTGGGTTCAGTAGCTTCTCGAAATGTTGTCGAAAATCTTCATCGCTTGGTTTGTTCCTTTGGTCTCCTTTATACTCGAAATCATGTATACTCGAAATTACATGATACACGATATGTACGGGTCATATGCTAACTTGGGCAGTATGCAAACTACCCGGGCAGTATGCATACTACCCAACAGCCCGGGCAGTATGCATACCGCCCGGGTAGTATGCATACTACCCGACCCCTTGGGCAGTATGCATACCGCCCAAAAGCTTGGGCAGTTTGCATACTGCCCGCTTTCCGACTTAAAGTTGTGTAATCCATGTCCACATTAAGAATATAAATGGCTCTCTAGATAACAATAGATCGACCGAGAAGAATTTTTGTCTTCAAACGTGATTGATCGATCGTAGGATGGAATGAGGATTGGAATAAAGTGTTGAAATTACTTTTTCCCAAATCCATTGTTGAATAACCAGTGGCCAACAAGTCATTGTCATTGTGAAGCGTGAACTGAGTAAAATGAAACGACGACGACAAAATTTGACGTTATCAATTTTGAACAGTTCTTTTTTCGCTATAACTTCGCCAAAAAAGAGGAATCAATCTCAAATTTGGTATGTGGATAGAAGGCGGTAGGGACTATCACATATTTTCCGTTTTTTTTTTTCGAAATTAAAAAAAAAACTTTTTGGATTTTTTTGCCTATTATATTTAAAAAAATACATTTTTGGTTTGGGGGGGGGGGCGTCAAAATCTAAAAATTTTAAAAAAATCCGAAATAGCAGTTTTGTAGCCCTCTAATTCGACACCTTTTATACCTATTCTTAAACATTTTCTGTATCTATAAAGCTGTAGGCCTGACAGCTCTTCCCGCGAAACCTTTTTTGGGTCGAAAATGGCAGAAATGACGTCACTCCGACGTCATTAGCGGCCAACCTATCGTAGCCTTTGGAAAAATTTTGGTCACAATGTGTAATAGCTACGATCCCGGGAGGGTACTGAAAGTTTGGTGGCAATCGGCGCAGCGGAATTCTGGAGATATATCGAAAAAACTAAGGGGGGACAAAAAATGCCCCCCCCCCCACCACCACCTGGAAGGTTAAAACATTTGTCATTCACATATATACACGACTTATTGCATTAAAAAGCCTCACGAAGTGTAGTCAACATACTGCCCGAGTAAACATCTTGCCCGTGAGAAGAAAGGTGGGTGGTATGCATACTACCCGGGAGGTATGCATACTGCCCGGGCGGTATGCATACTGCCCAAGGGGTCGGGTAGTATGCATACTACCCGGGCGGTATGCATACTGCCCGGGCTGTTGGGTAGTATGCATACTGCCCGGGCAGTTTGCATACTGCCCAAGTTAGCATATGACCCGTAACATATACGATTCTATTCGTTATAAAACACATACATTCGTATTTTTTATGATTCGAGAAATTGATCTGTTCATCCATCCATCCATCCATCCGACCTGAAAACGTTGACCTGACCTTTATCTGAGTTCAACAGTTCAGCTGACTTTTCCAAATAAAAAGGGCATCACTCGGCGTGGCTGGACAAGACGAACGGTGAAGCATTGTTGCTCTGCGATAATTTGAGATGTTAAATCTGTAAAATATTGAATGCCCATTTCGGGGTCGCCAGCCTGACCTCGGTCACCAGTTGGACAAAGGCGTCTCTAAACAGTCGCCAGTTGCCAGTATAAATTAGTTGGCAGGCGCTTCGCCTGGTATCGTTGCGTAGTGAATCTTTTTTCACGAAGAACTACCAAAAAAGGGTTCTTTGGGAACAAGCTCTTTCGCCCTGAAAATACCATTTCAGAGCTACGAGATGATGAAAGAGTGTGGAAACATTGAAGAGTGTGGATTGAGTGGACCACTGACGGTGGGAAGCGGCGGTAAAAAACCGTCACGGTCGCGCTGGGACGGGAGTCTCCCAATGAGACATCCCGCTCTGCCGCTCAAACGGTCACCCTGAAGAGGAAGTGGTCCTGGTGTGGAGTGGACCTGTCCTTACCGTCGTCTGGTCGTCTGGCGATATGACTGCCAGCCCGGAATGGGAAGCCTAAGGGATGCGGATGGATTTGTCCTGAGGAATTGGCAAAGACGGACGAAAGGGTGTTTGCGGACCCCGGCCTCTGGAAAATATATGGAAAAGTATGGAAAAAGCTATGTATGGAAAAAGTTGATGGGTGCAGAGAGGGTTATATCACATTTTTAAAAGGCTTTTACATATACGTCTCCTGATACTCTGCTTGATGCTAGTTTGCCTTCAAATTTCAACGAGTAGCATTTTACATCGACGGTGTCAAGTTAGGATCCAGGCCACGGGCACGGTGATCGTGGAATTGTTGGATGTCATTCAGCACCATACGAGTAGGATATCGTGGGTGGTTTGGCGGACGAAACACAGCATACAATACTCGTAAGCTATAAAATAGCACTGACAAAAGCAGAACGTTGATTACTGATCACAAACAGAAAACGCAAGGGCATTGGTGAGACGACACGGCACCGACCTAGATAGTGCCTGCTGATGGTGTATAAATGTAAAATGACTCAGCATTGCAAAAATATCGTCACAGAGCAGTTAAACAGTATTTTAACATGCGGGCTTTAACATGCAGTGTTTTTACATTACATAATGCATTAACGGTGATACCTAAGCTGATGTGAACAAATTGTATTCTTACCTTGCAACGGTGACCTCTAACCGTTTATCCACAAACCCTCCTCCTGCTCTCCGCAGTTCTGCGCCTCTGTCTTGGCTTCGTGATGCTCCCTAACGCCCTCTCAGATCCGACACCAGTAGCCAGTTCCGTGCCCAAATCACCACCTTCTCCGTCTGCTTCACAACACCAAATGACCTCTGCTACCCTCGACACCACGCATATTTCATTAACCCACATTTGGCGCCGGCAGGGCCTCCCAGGGGTACAGAGTCACTCTACTCGGGGCATTGTTTGTCCGGGCAGCTTTGTCAGGTGTTCTGCTGGCGTGACGGCCGGCGGACAACGGCCAATGCGGGGCGGGGCGGGCAATGTCACCGGCCGCCGACATCGGGCGACGGTGCGCCAGGCCACTTTTTGGGAAAGCCACCGGCCGTGTGGTGGTCTGGTCTTTGTCGGAACAGGCGATGGGGAGAAGCGGAGAGGGGTGGAGTGGATCCAGCGTCTCGGGGCTGTCGTGCCGAGAACAGCGAAAGTGCTGGATACTCGAGTGGAAAGTCGGCGTCATGTCATTCCGAACGGTCGAATACAGCGAATCTATTGTATCACAGGCGAAATGAAACCGAAAACGGTTTTATAAATGGCGTCTACAAAGGTTAATATGCAGTGATTTAGTAGAACACCTATGCTACCGTACCGTAGCTTTCTCAAAATGAATGTGTGAGGACAACAACACGCAAAACGCTTATGAAAACAAATATCAAACGGCGCTACTTTAGCACGAACCGCGTCGAACCTTGGTAATACTGAACGGCATTCTGTTCATTTAAACATAAACATGAAAATCAGACAGACATCAGTTTAGGCTGACATCTACGGTTATTCTTTCAAGTATCTTTGTCTAACATACGTGTGGGTGATGACCATTCAACCAGTGTCGTCATAAATATGCTCATTGTCCATCTCGTGGATGGTGTCAGTACTATTTTCGTTAACCCGCGCCGGGCCGGGGGGGTGTTTGAACACCCCCCTTGCGGTTTTTCGCAGATATCTCAAAAACGGCGGCGCGGAGCGCCGCCGTTTTTGGCACACCTGTTTGTGCATCTTTTCCGCACGTGTTGTGAAAATTTCAGACCCAGGTCACCTTAGGTCAGGTCACCAGGTCACGTCAAGTGACCTCACCTCAGAAAAAATAAGAATGCTCGTCATAGCTACACCGACTGAGCGATTGCCTTGAAACTTTCAGCGATTGATTAGAGCAACAATATCTATAAAATGTATATCTCGGAATTTTGATATCGGTGACCTAAGGTCAGGTCAATTTTGCGGCCTCTCCATTATAAGTCAATGGGAGAAAATTGAAAAGCGCCTGTTTTGCACGAACGCTATTCTAGACACTCTCAAACATCGAGATGTAGGTAAAATAGACACACTGAACCAGAAAATGGCAACTGTGACCCCTCGTTATGTCCCCGAGGTCATCTCAGGTCACGAACAGAATCTAACAGTTTTTCGATGATAACTTCTGATAGAGGCGTGCTAGAGCGCTGAAAACGCCTTAGATGTGTTCGGCTCGACGTTGCGGATCGACTGATATGCAACATGACCTTTTCCGGTCAGGTCATGACCTTGACCTGAGGTCAAATTTTCAAGTTGACCTTTCAAGGTCAAATTATAGTTCATTCGACGCGTCTCGACGAGAGGAACACGATGCTGGCAAAAGTAATGTCATAGCTCTTTTGAGTCAAAAGTTTTTGCCGAAAAAACGTTTTTCGTAAAAACGGCTATTTTTGGAGTTTTTGCCCTCTGGAGGCTAAACCGTTGACCTGAGGTCAAATCTGAGAACATTACTCAGAAAGGTCTGTAAAAGGGCTATCGAATGCGCTTTTTTGCGGCGCTGTAGCTCTATCGGTTCCCGAGATAGCCGTTGGCAGTTTCCAAAATGTTGAAATAGTCAACATTTTACCTTTGGTGACCTCTGGTGACCTGACCTTTGACCTGACCCAAAAAATGACCGAAGTGTTTTCGTCCTTATTTTTGACGTTCTTTCGATTGCCGCTTACCGCGTGTCGCTACGTGGCCCAGGAGCCGAGTTAGAAGGGGGGTGTTCAAACACCCCCCCGCGGCCCGGCGCGGAATTTCAGGGCACCGGCCCGGCGCGGGTTAACTTCCCGATCGTCTGGTTCACCGAATCAGTATGACGAAACAAGGAACTCAGACGGCGCCCCCTTATTCTGCCTCATCGACGGTACCCATTTTTCCAGAGCATCAGATCCCTTATAATTGGATCAGAGGCAATGGGGCGAACCATGTCGGCCCTCAAACGATCTCGGAGCTACCTGGTGGGACAAACAAGCCTGGCTACACCGGGGGCATCCGATTGCTCAGTCTGACTCCAGCGTTTTCACTGGAAGGACATCTTCAACCGCTTTTGTCCGTAACGCGTCATTTCGCGATCTTATAGTATACTGGGTATCTTCTGATACAAAGCTTCAGTCAACTCTTTTCTACCGTATATTGCGATCATCTCTCGCCGCTGATCACACCAGCCACCATGGCTCTGCCGCCGCCGCCGCCGTCGTCCCAGACGATGAACGTGAACCTGGAGTTCTCTCTGCCGGTGGACCTGGTGTACATCAGGGACGCCGATCAGCTCCACGCGCCCCTGGCGTTCGTCGCGCCCCTCGCGCTGGGCTTCGTGTTCATCGCCAAGGCGTTCGCCGCCGCCGGACCGCCGCACGCCGAGGTGAGTCTGTGCTCTGAGCTGAAAGCTAGTCATCTTAAAGTTCAGTTTGACTGGGGTAAAAATATACATCCCTCCATCGCTCAAGCAAAATAATTGCGAAAACCAATTGTTACTTGGCTTTCTTTCATCGAAATTATTACTTTCATTAAAATCATTACTTTTCTGCCGAAATAATTTGAGATTATTTTACAAAAACACACCTTTTAAAATTGTAAATTATTTTACATAAGTAACATTTATATAAGTAAATACGTTTTATTTGTTTTTTTTTTCAAAATTGATTTCGATTTTGATTCTGAGGAAGGTTTGGGTACAAAGTAATATCCACATACACCTCACTTTTTAACTTTCAAATAATATCGAGGACACGGTCCTCGACAGGTCCACGGTGGCACTACCTAACATTAAAGGTAGTGTGCCAGCTTTCCTGGACCGTATGGAGTTAATGGCCCAGATAAGGAGAACCGGATTTTTAGAACTTATCCATACCTTCAATACTCATGGAAACGTTTTAAATTCTTCAAATTTTGAGTACCCCAGTGCGAAATTCGCCCCGACGGGTTGTCGGTCGTACCCCAACCACATTTCACACCACTATGAACAATAAATGCACACACTGAAATCGCTATTACCGATATGCTCATCCAATCAAGTTTCGATAAACCCGTTCATCATCATCTCCTGCGGTTTCGAACACGCCTGTTAGGTGGTGCGGTAGACCGCGCCCAAAGCCAGGGCCCCGGTAACGTGCAAGGTATAGCCGAGTCGGGGCAGCGTGCGCTGACCCAAGCCGGGGCCGCGCGTCCTCCCGGTGTCATGTGATAGCCCGGGGCTGCCCGCGGGGATGCGATAGACCGCGCCCAAAGCTGCGGCCCCGGCTTGGGTCAGCGCACGCTGCCCCGACTCGGCTACCTCACGTTACCGGGGCCCTGGCTTTGGGCGCGGCTTCTGTTCATACTTTGTGGTGCGGTGGTGGTGCGTCGGGCCGCGCGCTCTGACTTCGGCCAAGAAAAATGCGTCAGCTGATCATTGTCATTTCTGCCACTTCCGTGTGGTGAAATGGGGTCATAACTTAAGAGACGGCTTTTTCATATCAATTATTTTACATAAAATCATATTTCAAACCATAAATAATGTTCAACAGCCAAATAAAAGAAACAATACCAATACAGGCTTACAGTTTAAGGCTCGACATTGTGTTGTCTACGATTAGACAGCTGATAACTCATTCCCGTACGTCGTAACTCTATAATGACCTTTGCTTATTGTCACATGTGTGCCGCATTCGCAATTGTTGCCGACGCCTGTTTGCAGGTCAGCCCATTACCTACAGTTGTTATACATATCGAAAAACCGATAAACTTTTAGGCGAAAAAGGCACTATTCCAGGCCCATTTTTGATTTTTTGCGATATTAGGTAAAAACAGAAGCTTCTTATCCTAGGAAAAATAAAATGGGAAATCTTTCAAAGGTGGCACACTACCTTTAATGTTTAGATAGCTTCAATAGCAGTCTTTCGTGTACGAAAAGTGCTAGGCTAGCACTTCCATTACATATTCAAACTCGTGAATGCAAAGTTGATTCACCGTCTACCATGTCGCCAGCGACGCTCGGACACCGGCCGTCGGAGCCGTCGGGGCGTCGATTCCGACGGCGACGGCGCGGGGCCGGACCTGTCGACGGTGCTGAACCAGCTCAACATCCGTGCCCCGGCCTGTCAGGCGCTGGTGGTCTGCGAGACCCACCGACTGATTGCCAGCCTGCCGGAGCCACTGCTGCACCACTACAGACGACTCAGGTGGGCATTGGGCAATCAGGCGGCCAAAAATACTCTGTACTGCCCGCTCAGGCACGCAGTCTATTTTCAAAGCATTTTCAGACTGTCTTCAGTAAATAATCGTAATAAAAATAATCGTAAGTGATTGTTAAACTTAATCGTTAACGCAATGATATAAATAATGCATAAGGATTTTGGGGTATGTTTATTTCAATGCATCGTTCATTTTATATAACGTATTGCCTTGTAATAACGTGAGCCGTAGAGGATTAAATACATCAGGGATGTCGCAGGGCTCAAAACGGTTATTGAGTCATGCTTCTTGCCACCGACCACGATTTCTGCCATGTTCTGCACTGTCTCCAGTGCCCCGTTGACAAAACCCATCGACTTTCCCCGGCAGCGGTCGCCTGCGAGGGGTACATCACTTCAGCGGCTCAGCCACCCTTGGTCTGGACAGGGGCGACTGTCGGGCACGGGACGGAGAGCGCTGTAAAAAGACGCCGCTCGAGCTGCTGCTGAACACAGGACTCTTCCGCCAGCGACGGAACACGCTCTGACGTCATATGCTCGTGACGTCACTACAAAGTAACGATGACGACAGACTTATTGAATGTGCGAACATGTAATGAGGTGGAGTGCAAATACACAGTTGTCGTAATGCAAACGTTTACAGCGATGTTCAATGAGCAGAAGCCAATAAACGGCCAAAACTATGTGATTTTGTTGCCGCCAACCTAAGAAAGAATAGTCCAATTTTACACTGACTTTGTACGGGTTTTTCGAACTGGTGACCTGACCTGAAGTGACTGAGACCTGAGTTTTCAGGGGAGGTGGCAAAAGACTTATAGGTTAGGTTAGGTTAGGCCGGTCCCGTAGCTCAGATGGTAGAGCGTTGGGTTCCGCGTGGTGAGAGCACGCGCTCCCGGTTATAACAGTACGGGTAAGAAGCGCGACGGGCGCTTGACATATATGGGCCTTTTGACAGGTATGGTTACGGTTGGTGGCAGGCCGTAGCCAGGCGAAGTCAGTGAGGGGACCGGCCGTGCGCGGCTATGTGCGCACGTTAAACTTTGGACTCTAAATTCTGCCATAGAACTGGAATTCGGAGGGTAGAGGGCAGGGTCACCGCAACAAGCTTCGCTTAGCGGTGGCTCTGTCCTTGTGAATCCTTCCTATCAAAAGGTTCGTACTAAATTTATTTAAAAAAAAGGCTGCCCCAGAGGGTATGTCAAATTTGGCGGCGCCCGTCTTTACGCTATTTGATAAAAGCCTTGGGGGAGCGTTGCATCATGCTATATTTCAGCTTCAATATAACGCGTGCAAAGTGACAAACGTACCGACAAGATCAATTGTTGACAGCTGATAATTTAGGCCAGCAAAGGCATAAAACCTGAGCAAAATGTAATGCCCACCACTCTCGGACGCACCATAGGGCGTCAATGACGAAAGCCAGCCTTTGCCAGAGCGACCATTTCGACACGGCGGGGTCACCAACTCCTTAGCAATGCACAAAAAGTCATAAGCATTGATTACGATTGCTTACAACGTGATAAAATAGGCACCTAGCTTTTCCAGTCTTCTCCTTTCACCAGATCAAACCACCTGACTCAAGTATTGGAACTAATAATCTACTGCACGGCAGTGACAGCGATGAAGGTATGGATGTTTGAGCCAGGCGCCGAAAAGGGCATGGTGTGTCGTGTCGGATGTCATTCGTAAATTGTAATCCCTCGGCTTAGCGCGACACCACGGTGGTTACGTCATAGCCAGTCGCTGTGACGTCATTTCTGACAGGAGATGTCATGGTTAATTCGACAGATACTCATATTTATATAGGTATATGGCCTGATGTGCGCCACGTTGTCAGTTGCAGGCAGGACCAGCGAACGTCAGGTGAGGGCAGATAGTGCCTTATCGAGGCTGGCCGCCGCTAAATAAGTCAACTACCTAAACCTACATGAAACGATACCAGTTATGGTATCTTAACTGTTGTTTCCCAAGGCCGTTAGGTGTCTATGCTTAAGTATTGTTTGCATTTGTGTGTCAACGTTTCATTCTTTAACCTGTTAGTAGAGTTATAGGAAAATATGATCCACGATTTCATGCGTGTGGGGGTCATTCAGCAGGCAACGAAACTTTTTTTTTTACAGCGCAGGCGTTGAATACGAGTAACAGGAAGACAGCGCACACAGGACAAAATGTTTCGCCATACCTTTCAAACGATCGTTGCAATTACTTTCATTTCCTTCTGTGTAGGTCTGCCACCGCCACCGCCAGGTGAGTATAAACGTGTAAAAACAGTTGAATCTTTTACCATCCAAGATAAATGAAGTCTGTGATGACCGAGTCAGTCGTAACGTGTTCTCTCCCTTGTTGACAGATGAGTATTGAATGTGGCATGCTTGTCATTGAAGGTACATGCACCCCAGTCTGTGTCTGCTAAGCATGGTGGCCTGTAGCATGCGCCTATGGGCTATGATGTACATATGTTGCTTGGCGCTGCATGCGATTTCATCACCGTCAGATCGGAAACACTTCTGGTGAGTGATGTTTGTGTTGTTGGGTGTCGTTTGCTTTCGGTCATATCTCTGGCAAAGATAAGCCCTCATTGTCATTGACATTAACCGTGATCACTTCGGCAACTGCTATGCTATGGTTTGCATGAAAACTAGCATGTTTTCCCCCCTTTGTGCTATTGTTTTGCTCGTGCTGACTGTGCACTGCCGTTTGTGTGTTTTCAGAAACCGCTTGTCTCATTCGTTTGTCCTTTACCTGTCTGCTACCCATATCATACCTTTCTACCCGGGCAAACATTTATTTTCTGTCAAAATACAGCATGAACAAGAACAGGCGCGTATAAGAAATCGACGAGACGGTGATGACAGTTTCAGAAGTTTCCATATATAATTGACAAAAATGGATGCAGACAAACAACTAAAGACGCTGAAGCAGACCCGTGCAAGGAAGCTGGGAACACTGACTAGGACAAGACGGAGAGCATTCATTCTGATAGAAGCCAAGGGAAGCCGCACTGAGTTGACAAAGATACTGAAAGAATTGGACCTGACATTCGAAGCTGTTCAAGAAGCTCATGATAGTTTTGCCGACCAGCTTACACAAGAAGAAGACATCAAAACGGCAGTAAAGTACATAGAAGATGTCGAGAAGCAGTACTCTGATGCTGTGGAAAGGATAAGTGAACATTTGGAGGCGAGAAAGGATGAAGCACCTTCAGTTGCCTCAGCGGTGGGTCAAGTGGCTGCCAACTCTGCAGTCTCAGAGCGATCCGAAGTAGCAAAGGCTAGAGAAGCTGAAATACAAGAACGTATCAAGGAGATGGAGCTTTCCCAGATGAAGAAACAGCTTGAAATAGAACAACAGGAGCAAGAGCTGAAGCGCAAGCGTATGCTGCAGGAGGCGGCAGATGCTCGCTCACGAGCCGCGCTGGAAGCGAGTCTGCAGAAAGCAGCGCTTGACGATCTGCAATGGGAACGGAGGAATGATTTTCCGGACCTCACCGAGCAAGATGTTCACGCGCCAATGGCTCATCACGATCAAGGAAAAGAAGCACTCATGACAGGAACCGTTCTCGAGCCTGAGGACAAGGCTTCAAGCAGACGCTGTTGCTCGGCATCCAACAGGAACACACCGAAAGTGACATTACCACAGTTCAGTGGCAATTCACTGGAATGGCCGCAGTGGTTCGGTTTGTTCTGTGCTCTCGTGGACAGTCAGGACGGACTCTCTGATACTGAAAAAATGGTGCATCTCCAGGCATCAGTTATTGGACTGGCAAAGAAGACCATAGCGGGATTCATGTACAGCCCCCACTTGTACCGCGACGCACTCATGGTGCTGCAAGAGAGGTTTGGTCGTCAAAAGGATATCGTCCGTGCTCACCTCAGTACCCTGTTTGGTGCGCCGCGCATCGGCGTCTCTAGTGCTGCTGCTCTGGAAGAATTGTACACAAAAGTCAATTGCACAGTGACAGTTCTCCAGAGTCTTCACTGTGACGGTGATCTGATGAGTCACGAAAATCTGCAACGAGTGGTCGAGAAACTCCCCGCCGATCTCAGAAGGGAGTGGAGCAGACATGAGATTGAGTCGGAACTCAGTTCACCGTCGCTAGCCACGTTCAGCAAGTGGCTTGGGGGACAGGTTAAGATCGCCTTGAACTGCATCGATCCCGTCTCGCATGTACTTGAACGGAGGACATCGTCGAAGAGAGCTACTTTGTTGACAAGTGCTGACCACACGGCGTGCGTCTGCTGTGACGGAACTCACCACCTGGCGGATTGCAGCATATTCGCCGGCTGGTCTGTGGGAAACAGAGCGCAGTTTGTGGCTGACCGTGGACTGTGCTTTGTATGCCTGCAGCACGGTCATCTGATAAGGACCTGTCGCTGGGCTAAGCCATGCGGAAAAGAAGGTTGCACCATGCGTCATCACGAGCTGTTGCATGGCAGCAGTCGTGTATTTCGAAGGCAGTGGCCTGTGGAGGAAGCTCGGCAGCAAGATCATGTCGTCAAAAGACAAACATCTGCAAATGACGCTCAAGCACCAACGCAAGTGGAGACTTCTGTTCATCGCACGGTGGCGACTTCGTTTCCGGTTGACGAGTCCGAGACACTATTGCAGATAGTGCCAGTTCGTATCCACGGCGAGGGCAGCACGTTCGAGGACGTCTTTGCTCTGCTCGACCCTGGGTCGCAGACCTCACTCTGTGCTGCCGATGTGCTGACATCCTTGAATATCACAGGAACACCGAGTGATCTTTGTCTCCAGAACGTTGAAGGCAGTGGAAGCCCTCAGAGCTCACAGAAGGTAAAGCTCCTAGTGAGCCCTCGAAGTGGTGATCAAGTACCGATAGAAGTGTCCGAGGCCTTCTCAGTTCCCAGACTAAACGTGAAGCCACCGCAGATATCTGCTAACCAGAGATGCAGGTGGGAGCATACATTGGACTTGGACATTCCGGACTACAGGGGAGTGGAGATCAAACTGCTCTTAGGTGCAAATGTCATCGAAGCCGTCATTCAACAGGAGGTGAGAATCGGCAGACCTGGTCAACCAGTAGCAGTAAGAACTGCGTTTGGGTGGACATTGACTGGCACGGTCAAGGGTCTGGTCCCAGGACAACTCCGGCACGTCATGTTCATCAGGAAAGCCCCAGTGGAACACGACCTCACGTCTGCGATCGAAGACTGGTGGAAAACTGAGTCGTTCGGGGTGAAGATACATCAGCCTCTAGCAAGGTCTGTTGAGGAAGATCGCGCTGAGAAGATCATGAAGGAGACTACAAAAATGGTAGAAGCAGGAAGATATGAAACAGGCCTCCTGTGGAAAAAGAGTGGTGCAAGACTTCCGGACAATCGGAGCATGGCTCTCCGCCGGTTGCAACAGCTGGAGAAAGGGCTACTTCGTCAGCCGGAGAAAGCAGACAAGTATCAGAAGATCATAGACGGATATCTGGATCAGGGGTTTGCCAGAAGAATCCCTGAAGAAGAGCTACTGAAGTATCATCCGAGGCGATGGTAACTGCCCCATCATGGAGTTACCAACCCTCATAAGCCGGGAAAGCTCAGACTGGTGTTCGATGCTGCTGCTTCCTTCCAAGGCACGTCTCTCAACAGCGAGCTCTTGGTGGGCCCCGATATGCTGCTCAGCCTACCGGGAGTACTGTTACGCTTCCGAGAGGAGGCCGTGGCTATCGTTGGTGATATTGAAAAGATGTATCATCAGGTCCGTGTGATTCCCGACGATCAGCCTGCTCTGAGCTTCTTTTGGAGAAATCTGGATCTCACGAAACCTCCAGATGCCTACAACATGACGGTGACGATTTTCGGAGCTCGGTGTAGCCCAGCTTCAGCCAACTACGTCTTGTGTAAGACAGCCATGGATCACCAGGAAGATACAGTCATTTCCCGAAAGGCAGCGACGGCCGTCCAGCGTAACGTCTACATGGACGACCTACTGAGAACAGAGAAGACAGTCGCAGACGCAAAAGCACTGAGAAGCGAAGTAACGAAGCTGGTATCGAGAGGTGGGTTTAGGCTCACAAAGTGGCGAAGCAATTCGGAGGAAGTCGTCCTCGACGTCCCAGAGGAAGAGAGAGCGGGTATGGATGGACCGACGGAGAACGTACTCGGATGCCCGTGGAATTCGGTCGAGGATACTCTGGGTGTTCGATGTGTTGAAGTGGAAACCTCACAGCACATCACGAAGCGGCGCGTTGTTGCTATCGTTGCCCGTCTGTTCGATCCCATGGGTCTTGTGGCACCGTACTCTCTGCAAGCGAAACTACTCGTGCAGAGACTTTGGGCGCGGGGTCTCGGATGGGATGAGCAACTGAATGAGCATGAGATGCGCATTTGGCGCGCATGGGTGGCCGAATTGCCTCGTTTGAGTGACGTGGTTGTACCGAGATGTTTGCATCCGAACCTAGAAGACGATGAGCGGAGGTACGAGATGCATATATTCTGTGATGCGTCGGAGTCGGCCTTTGGAGCGGTGGCGTTCCTCAGATCAGTGCAGCTTGGCGGGACCAACGTCATCTTCATTGCAGCGAAGACACGAGTCGCGCCTTTGAAGCAGCTTTCAATTGTCCGCCTCGAACTCCAGGCAGCGGTGATGGCTGCCCGACTATCAGAAGCCATCGTGAAGGAACTGACTTACCAGATACATCGGACTGTGTTTTGGAGTGACAGCGTCGTTGTCCTGAAGTATCTGAACAACGAGAGCCGGCGCTTCCACACTTTTGTGGCTAACAGGATCGCGGAGATTCGGGAATCCTCTGATCCAAATCAGTGGAAGAAAGTGCCAACCCATTTGAACCCCGCCGACGCTTGCTCCCGCGGGAAGTCATTGGAGGAGCTGCTGACAGAGCCAAGCTGGCTCAAAGGTCCTGATTTTCTGCGTGAAGAGGAGGATGAGTGGCCAACTCAAAGCGCTGTAGATATCCTGAACTCTTCGGATCCGGAAGTGCGGACCGTCGGTGCTACTAGCGCCAGAAGTGCTTCAGGAGAGTTCCTTCCGGATCCAGCGAACTTCTCTTCGTGGTTGAGGTACAAAAGAGTGGTCGCCTGGATGATTCGATTCATCCAAAATCTCCAGTTGAGGCGAGAGGCCGGGAACCAGCAGCTCATGACGGGGCCTCTGTCTGCTGCTGAACTGGAGACGGCGGAAGCAGTCATCGTGCGTGAAGCACAGAACAGACATTTCGAACATGAGATTCGGAGTCTGAGCGCAGGAAGTCTGGTGCACCGATCGAGTCGGATCAGGAACTTGTCGCCGTTCCTCGACAATGCGGGTATTCTTCGTGTCGGTGGGCGACTAGGCAACGCCCCTCTACCGTTCGCTAGCCGACATCCGGCGCTCTTGGCATCAGAAGACCAAGTGACACATCTGATTATAGCGGACGCTCATCAGCAAGTGTTCCACTCTGGAATGGAGCGCACCCTCACGGAAGTCCGACAACACTACTGGCCGTGTCGAGGAAGGTCGCTGGTGAAGCACGTGATCCACAAGTGCCAACAGTGTAAGCGCAGACGCTGTGGTCCGCGAATCCCGAGAATGGCCGACCTTCCAGCCAGTCGGTTCGATGAAACGCGAGCATTCAACACTGTCGGGATAGATTACTTTGGTCCCATGGAAGTGAAGAGGCTTCGGAAGATAGAGAAGCGGTATGGCGTGTTGTTCACATGCTGTGCAACAAGGGCTGTGCATTTAGAACTAGCTCACAGTCTAGACACAGACAGTTTCCTGCTCGCCCTGCGACGATTCATCGCTCGTCGCGGCAAGCCAAAGCTGCTACTATCTGACAACGGGACCAACTTTGTCGGGGGAGAGCGGGAGCTCAGAGAATCATTAGCAGAGTTGAACCAATCGAGGATCACAGATGAGCTCAGCCAGAAAGGAATTGAATGGAAGTTTCTCCCTCCTGGAGCTCCACATATGGGAGGCGTTTGGGAAAGGCTAGTGGGGAGTGTGAAAAGAGCTATGAAAATGGTTGTGGGGAACAGTTGCCTCACAGATGAAGTGCTCCACACTGTGCTCACTGAGGTGGAGTCGATGCTGAATGGTCGGCCCCTCACATATATCAGCATCGATGGACGGGATCTAGATCCGCTGACACCTAACCACTTGCTTCTGGGCTGCGCGAACGCGAACCTGTCTCCAGGGAGATTTCAAGATAAGGAAGTCAACAGTCGAAAGCGATGGAGGCAAGCACAGACTATAGCGGACCACTTCTGGCGCAGGTGGCGTCGCGAATATCTCCCTTCGCTGATGGCTCGGAGCAAGTGGCAGGAGGACACGAGAAATGTGACAGTTGGGGATGTAGTGTTAATGGCTGAAGAGAGCGCTCCCAGAGGTTTCTGGCCGTTAGCGCGAGTTACTGAGGTGTACACGGGAGAAGATGGAAGGGTTCGTTCAGCTGAGCTGAAGACGGCATCGGGAGCGATCTATCATCGCCCGGTAACCAAGATATGCGTATTGGAGGAAGTTGAAGGTTGTGATGGGGAGTAAGAGGCCCGATTTCCTCGTCCTGTACAGAAATGTGCTGTGCCTCGGGCTGAGCTTCCTCATCCGTCTATCACTGCCCAGCCCCGATTCCCACCTGTCACGCCTTCGACGACTGAGACTGGCGATGGTGGCGTCGTCTTCGGCTGGAGCGGCTCCGAGGGCGGCGCTGATGTCGTCATCTGGGGCGGCGGCATCTGCTATTGGGACAGTGCTTCCGGCCGGGGTGCTACCGGCGGTCGTGGCGCGGCCTACTGTCGCGGCGGGCGCTGCCGTCGCGCTGCGGCTTGCTGTCGCGGCGGGGCCTGCCGTCGCTGGACTCGGAGCGGCGCGCTGCGGCGGCGGCGCGCTGCGGCAGCGGCGCCCGCGTTTAGAACGCTTGCGACAGTGGACACTTACAGAGTGTTGCGTGCGTTCAGAGTGGCGACATTCAGCGAACGAGTTCATCGTGAGAGTGACTTTTACCGACGGTGGCTCGTGCACGCCACCTGAGCTGTGGTGTCGAGGCTGTAGCTCGATACGGGGTGATTAGTAAGCTCTGAAGACTGTACCTAGTTTCGAGCGGTCGCGGAGCTGACTATAGTGCGATACGTTGATGATCGTGTGCATCATTGCGTTTGTGTTGGCTGTGAACTTTGTGTTGGCAAGGAACTGAAGGGTGCTCCGCTTCCCAGCTGTCAACATTTGACGCAGATGCAGTTGAGCGATGTTGATCTGGAGTGCTTCAGATAGAAGTATTGTATTCGGTTTAGTTGTGTTCGCTACGCGAAAACGAGGGGGAGGAATGTGATGACCGAGTCAGTCGTAACGTGTTCTCTCCCTTGTTGACAGATGAGTATTGAATGTGGCATGCTTGTCATTGAAGGTACATGCACCCCAGTCTGTGTCTGCTAAGCATGGTGGCCTGTAGCATGCGCCTATGGGCTATGATGTACATATGTTGCTTGGCGCTGCATGCGATTTCATCACCGTCAGATCGGAAACACTTCTGGTGAGTGATGTTTGTGTTGTTGGGTGTCGTTTGCTTTCGGTCATATCTCTGGCAAAGATAAGCCCTCATTGTCATTGACATTAACCGTGATCACTTCGGCAACTGCTATGCTATGGTTTGCATGAAAACTAGCATGTTTTCCCCCCTTTGTGCTATTGTTTTGCTCGTGCTGACTGTGCACTGCCGTTTGTGTGTTTTCAGAAACCGCTTGTCTCATTCGTTTGTCCTTTACCTGTCTGCTACCCATATCATACCTTTCTACCCGGGCAAACATTTATTTTCTGTCAAAATACAGCATGAACAAGAACAGGCGCGTATAAGAAATGGACGAGACGGTGATGACAGAAGTCCTTTAATGATAATTTGTATGAAAGCTCAGAGCTTTGAATTCATTCTTCAATCGCATCCATGCTAGTTACAAACGGAAATAGCGTCATTGCTAGCATTGTTTAGCATTTATACCTTCGAACACGCGAGAGAATGCTTCATATGTTACCTTGCAAGTCAGTTGTGCATAGCTTGAACAGACGGCAACGATAATCTAATGCACTATAAACATACAATTAACTGTCGCCAGGGTCGACGACGACATGCAACTTTGGCAGCCCGCCACAGGTGTTCCAGAGTGGTAGTATCATGGAGGCAAACGCGCAGAAATGCTACGAGGCTCGATGCACAAACGGTGTTATGACTATACACAGCATCAGATCCGGTTGCGGATGTGAGTACATTCCTACTACGTACCGAATGGAAAGACTATGCAGATAATGGACGAGTACTTATACGGCCTTAATTGAAAAACAGAATACTAAGAGTAGTGTGTCAGATTTAGCAGCATGATCATCACTTGATTGGCTTGGTGTGTTTTATCAGAATATTTAGACTCATAAAATTCTTATCGCAGGATTATTTTCTTTCATAAAATACAAGCGTGCACCAGATGGCCGTCGTAAAAACGGCTAATATAACTTCACTGCCTTTGTATAATGGTTGCTATTCTTTCGCAGGCTGCAAGCAAGGCAACAAGGTGTACGCTCCTGGCGCTGAGATATTTGCGGGAGGATACAGAAAGAAGTGCCAGTCGGGTGGTAGCTGGCTATACATACCGTTACCGACAATCAGTGCAGGTGAGCATGCTCGATAAGACACGTGCACCTGAAAGAAGGTATATTGTTACCACGGCTGCATAACAAAATGATATCAAACGTTAATTTATCATCATTGGGGGCGACATTTTAAATGAGGCAAGGTAACCAAAGGTAATGTGGATGTGTAAATGATAACAATGAAAAGGATTATAAATCGATCGATCGGTGTCAAATAATGTTTCAAAAGAAATAACAACATGTAGTGTTTTGGTTTCACCGTTCTTCAGTGCAATCGACATAAGATAACACTACCTTAACCTTTTCTAATACTTTCGGCTAAACTCAGGCCACTTGGAATTGCTGGAGCTATAGGGTTTCGGAGTCGAGGTTGCGTTGTTTGAACGCTACGAGGCTCTGACTCCTACTCCGAAACCCTGCTTATGGCATGTTGGTTGTTGATATAAGTGAAGTGTGGTAATAATATAATATAGATAGAATAATTGCTTGTATATCCTCCATTGAAATGCTTTGAGTAATCTTTTAGAAAGTCCAATAACATATAAACCAAAAGGACAAGTGAATATGATGGCACCATGTTAGCAATGCGTTTCATATGCCAGCTGACAAAATGTTTTCATTTCAGCAACAATGCATCAAGATAAAACTGTATACATCGAAAGCCTGCCAGCCGGCCGCAGATGAGGCAGTCTCTTGGCCAGCTGATTCCTGCTTTTTTTCCTACAGCCTTCCATCCGCAGAAGAATGGAATCTTACCAAAAGTCTCCGTCCGCATAGTAACTTAACTGTTTCATCCACCCGATCAATGTTTGAATGGAAAATACATGCAGATGAAAACAAATAAAACAAGATCCTATTGGGTGTTTTTGATGTCGAATACTCACACACAAAGCGTTGTGCCGTGCTACCGAGCCTGCCTCATTCACTCATCCGGCTCCTAGCAATACATAAATACAATACATACATTGCTTGATAAACTGAATTTATTTCATATTTTATGAAGCATTAGAGCTTAACAAAATGAAATGATTACTCAAGCTCAAGGCTAAATTAATCTCGGATTAGATCAATTGAGCAAAAGAAAAAAGAACAGCCCATCTCAAAGACGCTACTGCTTTCAACAAAGAGGGCAGTGTTAGAAGACTATTTTCTCCTAACGCACGCCTGCTGGGCTATTCAGCCCCATGCGCCCCACTGGGGTTGACGGACTCTGCCCCCTGTCTAGCTAGCTTCCGAACCGATGGTCGTAAAAATGGGGAAAACGGTAATCGAAAACTCTCGACGAGGAACGTCTTAAGAGCGATTTTTTGCCTAAGATGGTGAGAGGTCAGGTCAAGTTAAAGGGACCCTCCCACCTTAACATTAGTTTTGAGTTGAGATAGCCAAGTTTGCGGCCAGGCTCAGAAACCACCATTTACCCTGGTCGCAACCCCCGCAGCTTTATGGTGTTCAAGAAATTTCTTCCTTTTACTTGCAGGGTGGGACCAGCGTGGTCCCTATCTCTTAACCATTACGGGAATCTGATGACGTCATCAGGCTTTCGAACGTCCGTTAAATGTTTGACTAAAACGTTTTGTAGCACGTGGTGGTATATGCTGCTTTGCGCGCAACAAATGCCGCACTTTCAAATAAAGTCGCTAGGAACAGCGGAGATCCCAAAAAGTAAACAAAAGTAAAAGTCTAATATCTTGAAAACCGGTGAATATTTTTCGATGAAATTTGGTAGATATTCGTTTTTACTCTTTCTGAACCGAGCGACATCACTTTCATGCCAATTCATTAACTTTTTTGAAGGTGGGAGGGTCCCTTAAAACAGGGGACAGAATCTGTCCCATCACTCAGTTGGTAGAGCGCTGGAATACCAGTCGCTCTCCGGCGCTCGACATTTGACTCCTGACGGGAATGATCTGCAGTTGGTGGGAGCAGCCGGCAGCCGCAGCCGGTTGAAGTCAGTTGAGTGGGACAGGCGGTTTAAACGCCGTGTCCGGCGTTTAAGGGCACGTAACTCTTTGGCATCCTAATTCTCCCGTTACTGGGAATCGTGCAATCGAGCAGTTAGGGGTCGCGGTCCACGCAGCAAGCTCTGCCTAGCGTAGACTCCAGCACTGTCAATCCGTGCATTCAACCATTCGAGCTAAATTTATAAGAATACAAATACAAAGAACAGGTCAAGGGTGAACTATTATATATAATGTGTAAGACATCTAACTTTGTACCGTTTTGTCCCCTATGTGAAAAAATACGTGAAACTGCCTTTCGCCTGCTAAACTGTGCCTGATATTAGGCATCCGGGATCAACTATTTTGTCTCCAGATAACTTTTAAAAAATCGTGCGCTTTTCCGATCAATCAAAATACACCGGGAGGTATGGGCAATAGCCCGGGAGGCATGGGCCGGTACCATGTTTCAGATTCTTTTCTCGACATTGAGAACAATACTCGTAGCTGGGCTCTACTTTGAGCTCTCCAGGTACCGCATTAACGGCCAGCAGCTTACTTCATGGAGGTCACTTGGGCACATATGCATTTTGGTAAACTCTAAGCTTGTTCCATGAAATAAGACAAATAATATTTTTCTATTCGAATGCATTTTGTACTTAAACTTTCGACCTTGTGCGACAAAAATAAAACTTATTGAAGAGGACATTCAATGAAAGCATCATTTCATTGATTTAGGATCAACTGGGTGGGTGGCCCGAACCTCCCGGTTAGGACGCCAGAATGCGCGTAGCATTTCAGCTCATAATCTTGCAAGAAAGCTTCAGATTGTCTATCCAGTCTTACTTAGCATGTTCTAAACTTTATGTTAGCGATGGCCTGACATAATAAAACGAGCCTCGTTCAAATTGATTACGAATTTTCTGTATGTACCGTTTTTTACTCGAAGAGGGCAAAAACGCATTATCACCGCTCATTGCCAAAGAAGACTGATAAATATTTTGGAAATCACGTGGGTTGTATAACGGAATGGCTGTGCTACCAGTTTACGCGATCGAATGTGTAAAAATACGCGACACTTTTTCAAAACTGCGATGGCCCATACCTCCCCGGGGGCCCATACCTCCCGGGTCTCCCCTACATCACTTTAGCGGCTCAGCCACCCTCGGTCTGGACAGAAGCGACTGTCGGGCGCGGGATGGAGAGCGCTGTAAAAAGTCGCCGCTCGAGCTGCTGCTGAACACAGGACTCTTCCGCCAGTGACGGAACACGCTCTGACGTCATATGTTCGTGACGTCACTACAAGATAACGATGACGACAAGCTAGTTGGATATGCGGCAATGCATTGATGTGAAAGAAAATACACGGTATGATGAATGATCAACTATTATATGTATACGGGTGTAGGAGTATGCCAAAAACACTCACGTTGATAAATAGATATGATTGAGTTTTATTCACGATCGATGGCAACACAAGTCAAATTCCTAAAACCAGACGTTTCGAAACCCGTTTCGAAACCATCGGGCACAGGTTTCGAAACCTGTGCCCGATTGTCGACTTCGAACGATTTATACCGATTGTTTTTGATACTATGTGTTTTTAATTTAATCACTAGTGTCCACTGACGAAGGCACCCTGTGGCCGAAACGTCTGGTTTTAGGAATTTGACTTGTGTTGCCATCGATCGTGAATAAAACTCACTCACGTTGATGTTTTTAATATCAAGCGAGCCTGACTACAGATCCTAAGTAATCTCATGCGACACTTGATTTCAGGAAACCATGCGTCGAATAAATCTACGAATTTTTCAGGGACGTCGGCACCGTCTGATGTTAGCTGACATTTCCGACCGATCTGTAGTCACGAGGACTGCAGTGCAAAACCTTTGTGACGCATTACCAGCGAGTTAATGGCGGTGACCTTTGTCAGTTGGCTGCAGATCGATACAGTCAGGTTGCTGGCCGCCTGACAGGGCACAAAAGGTCAGAGATCCAATTCCGTCAAACGAACGCAGCATGAAGGTGAGCGAGGTGGTTAGGTGTTGGACTGACAGTATATTTCGGACAGAGACCAGGGCCTCGCGTTTCATAAAGCGACCTCACGCCGGTTTTTGGTCTTTATTGCAAATGCATGTGAAGCGATAAAGTTATTTCCCTCCCCCTCTCCCTTCTGTTCTTGCTTACAAGATAAAAAAATTCAACGATTCAAACTATCGTCATCGCCACACCATGCACTTGCAATTCAAGACCGAAAACTGACGTAAGTTACGGACTCTCTTTATGAAACGAGGCACAGGAAATGAATTAGGTTAATATCAGGCCAAGAGTAAGAAGATATTTTCCATAAGGGCTCTAGGTAGGTACTTACAGTCACAAGAGGTAGGTAAGCAACAAAATGTAGAGTCGGACATCATTATAGGCAGGAAAACACTACAAAAAGTCAAGCTGCACCAAACGTCAGCATGCAGACGTCGCATCCTTCCACTCGTTTCTAATTAACTATTTATGAAAAGCGTTGGGGAACTACATGGTTGACCAATTATATCACCCCTTGCGCGATAATTATCACCGCGGCCAGCGTCGGAATAGGGTAGAAATTGATATCAGCATAGTGTGTCCGAAAACTAGCTGTGGCGTAATTTGATACATGTAGGTAGATGACACATGTAGTGTGACCGAAAACTAGTTTTTGCCGGTCCCGTAGCTCAGTTGGTAGAGCAGTGGACTCCGCGTGGTGAGAGCACGCGTGTCCGGTCATATGTATAAGGGGCATTCCACGTCAAATCGAACAAAAATCGGCTGTTTTGCACCTTACCATCAGCGATTTCATTATAAATTTGTGAGCGAGTTCCTGTGTCGCCCCGAACATTACATTGATGTTTTTTGCACATTCTGACCACAGGTCTTCTAAATATAGGGCATCGAATTTTTACAAAATGTTGCATCTTTATATTTTTGAACGACCATAACTTTGGTTGTACTTGCTTGATTTGAATGAAATAAACCTTACTGTTTAGGTAATTTCTTAAGCATTTGTTAAGAATTGCACATACTTAAATATATGACCTTGAAATTTGCTTAACTCTGTTCTTCAGCACAAAAATTGAAATAGCAAAAAACACGTCACCTTCGATTTGGCTAATTTTCATATATTTTATTGCCTACCATATTTTTAACAGCCTGTGAAAAAATTAGAGTGGGCCATTCATAAGTTTTGAAGAAAATGGCACATATGCAAACGTATGTTAGCACGCGCAGTGGAGGGGGAAGAGTGAATTTCGCCCCACCCCTCCTGTTTTTCGCCAATATCTCATAGTATTAATGCGAAATTAATTATAGCTACCTGTCCAAAATTGAATTGCACATCTCATCGTGCAAGCAAGAAGAAAATCGGTTCACAACTGGTCTAGTAATAGCGGTGTAAAGTGAACATCCTGTCGCAGCGGCGACGCGGCGACTCGGCAGCCGGCGCCGACCGCTAGCCGCCGCCTGAATTGTAGACTGTGCCGGGACGGAACGGAACGGTTCCGTATTTACATCGCGCTTCTTACCGCTGATTACCTTCGATTCGCGTCAAATTTTGTGAGAAGACTACGAAATGTACAGGCAATCTTATGGTGTAAGAATTTTGAAAATCGGTTGGTAAACAATTGAAATACGTGTAAACACAAAATTGTGATTGCTGCGTTTCCCGCGTCGGCCGATCCCGCCTCAGCCGGCGACATGTTACTCTTAGCAGGTCTCTAACTGCCATATTTATTATTGGATTAACTAGAAATTCCCCATACATACTCAAAAATGTATATTCTTTCGTATAGTAAAGATAAAAAGACGTGAAGATATCGTTGCGTGATAATGGTTTCGTTGAATTTTTGGCTTCATGATGCATTTCCACACGGCTCAAAATTCACCGCAAAATACCGTTTACCTGAGACACTTTTACTGTGGAACTTGAATGCTTGACTACGATGACCATGTATTTCCATTCTCGCACAGTTTGGGATATCACTAATCAGCAATCATTCATTTCAGAAAGTGTACACAAGCAAGCATGTCTTGACTCTGTCTTTGAAGGTCACGCGCGGTTGTGTGATGTTGATGCATGAAAACGGCGTTTGACGCGAGAGTTATGAATGGCCCACTCCAATTTTTTTCACAGATGGTTAGGAACATTGTGACGGACATAATATGTAAAAATTACCCGAATCGAAGGTGACGTGTTTTTTGCTATCTAAATTTTTTTGTTTTAATTCAAGGTCAAATGCACTTCAAGGTCACTTCAATTTAATTTTATAATTAAAAATTAAAACCTTATCAATTGCCTACAAGACCCTGTTAATATCATTTTGATACCAGAAAAGGAACCAGAGTTATAGACATTTAAAAATTGATGTTTGGCATTTTTGGCTATATTTGATGACCTTTATCTCAGCGATACTTTATCAAATTTCGAAAATATTCTACGTAACTCAGTTTTGAACCATGCCCAGTCTGCCTACAAATTTTCAGAAAAATCGAAGGGGATGACGGATTTCGGTGTTTGATTTGACGTGGAATGCCCCATAACCGTCCGGGTTCGAAGCGCGACGGGCGCGTTGACATTTGTGGGCCTCCTGACAGGTATGGTTGCGGTTGGTGGCAGGCCGTAGCCAGGCGAAGTCATGGTGAGGGGATCGGCCGTGCGCGGCTATGTGCGCACGTTAAACTTTGGACTCTAAATTCTGCCACGGAACTGGAATTGCGCGATCGGAGGGTAGAGGGCAGGGTCACCGCAACAAGCTTCTGAAAAGCCGTACAGTTGCGAGTTACCAACATAATTATGTTGAAATAAATACCAAATGGACACGAGTACAGGTCTACCAAGTTATAGATAAGTTTTTTTTTTCAAGCAAATGGAACTTTTGTGAGTGGTAGGTACGGAGGCTGTTGTATACCTATTTACCAAGTGGCAAGTACCTGAGCTATTGGAAAGAGGCACAATGTAAAAGTGGTTAAAAGAAATGAGGAATTATAGAGAGGAAACGAGAGAAAGAGGGAGAGGAAGAGAGCGAGAGAGAGAGAGAGAGAGAGAGAGAGAGAGAGAGAGAGAGAAAGAGAGAGAAAGAGAGAGAGAGAGAGAGAGAGAGAGAGAGAGAGAGAGAGAGAGAGAGAGAGAGAGAGAGAGAGAGAGAGAGAGAGAGAGAGAGAGAGAGAGAGAGAGAGAGAGAGAGAGAGAGAGAGAGAGAGAGAGAGAGAGAGAGAAGTGAGAGGGAGTAATTGGGGAAAAGAGGAGAGCGGAAGAGTGAAAGAAGTCAGCGCAAATAGGCGCGTGTGTCAAAGCGGTGACTTATCCTGTCTCGCTTCCAACAAAGCACGAGTTGGTAGTCAACGTCTACCTACATAATCATGCTTCTCTTCACTGAACCCACCTCCTTATGTAATGACACCTGTCATGGTTGACCCCCGACAGGTATAGGTATGACCTGATACGCACCGACCGCAGTCAGTTGCAGGCAGGCCGCCCGAGCGTCAACCGTCAGGTGAGGGTATAGATTCAAACCAAAGACACACGCATGATACCGCTTATTATATACGTCGACATAAAGGCAAAAGTGCTCGACATACAAAGGTTTACGCTTGAGTGTTAGGCTCGTACTTGTATCTAGGATACGGATACGCTTTATGCACTTTATTTTTCATTAAACTTTGCATGAAAAATAGATTGTAGGGAAAATGTACTGTAATTGCAATCAAATGACGAAGCACTCTGGTGAACAGCGTTATATGTACGATATTCAATGGAATAACTATAGAGATAATAAGATCTCTATGGGAATAACCTTCTCTTTAAAATTCTTAAAATTCTGTTCATTTTTTTAAAATTTTGAACCGGTTATTCCATTAAAATGTACCGTAATATGCAATGCATCGCGAAGGTCTGATATTTTTCTCGGAATGTATCCTTCTTTTATTACAGCCTTTAAGTCGAAGTAGCAGCCCAGAGGCACCGACATAGAAGATAAAATGTTTGGTCATGCTTTTCAAGCGATCGTCGCAGTTCTTCTCGTTTCCTACTGTGTAGGAGAGCCCCTGAAAGGTGAGAGTGCTTACACATTGCAATTAATTAGAGAAGGATTAAAAATATATCATATTGCATAAATTTATAGCACCTCGGTTTATACCTACATTTTGCACAAAATGGCATATTTATGGAGGCGAGATCCGTGAGGTTTTCAGAATTGAGAAAAGTTTATTGGAGAGAGTGTCCCGCAGCGTCCAATGCAACTTTTCTGGATGCTTCTAAAACACTACTAGGTACTAGCTTATGCCAAATGTTAATGCTTCAATGTTATAATTAATTAGATACCAGTAAAACGCCTTTTGGGGCGCCTTTTGCAATAATCCACTGCCCTGTTAATGAATCTATGTACTGCATTACTGCAGGTTCGACGTGCGCTTTCGGCAGCACGCCGCAAATATTCCTGAACGGTGCCATACTTGAGGCTAACGCACAAAAATGCTACGAAGCTATATGCACAAACGGCGTCGTGTCAATCAACAGCATCAGCGCCGGCTGCGGGTGTGAGTATTTCTGATCGTTAACTGTGGCGGCTGATAGTGGAGAACAGAAAAAACCAATGGTTTGAACATAGGTAAATGACAAGCCTAGCACTTAACGAATTAAATGACAAGCCCAACAAGCCAGTCACAGCATCAATCCTATAGCCTCAACAAGTGCAATAACCATTCATAGGTGGTATATACATACTTAACTTTTTGATATGATAATTGATATTCTAAGCAATATTTTGTCTCGCCAGCTTTTGTCTGGAACTCTCCCCATGAGTAACATAAGCACAACTATTGACATATGTAGCCAGCTACGACTACTAAGACATAGTAAGCAGCTGACCTGAGCTGACTACTGTTTATGCGCAGGTTGTGAGTACGGCGGTCGCGTGTACGCCCCCGGCGCAGAGGTGTCGCAGAGGACCTGCAGAGCCCGGTGCGAGTCGGGTGGTTACTGGGTGTGCATAGGGGCACCTGTAATCAGAGCTGGTGAGTTCGGTGTCATATATATGCGTGTGAAAAGGGCTTAATTGTTACAGTTGTTGCAAAAAAGGTGCCTTTACACATCACGCTACCAAATTTAGAAAAGACAACGCGATCGAGCCAACGACACTAATCGACTTCCAAAGGTATCCAGCAAAACAATAAATAGAAGAGAAAAATTATGAGGCACCTTATTTTTGCATTTTGATTCTATCACATCACACCGGAGATAGCTTTCATTTAAATGTTGTCAAACTTTGTGATGTTTTCTTAGGTACGTGAAGTAGAACTCACACTATTTAGGTAGGTTGCATTATAACACCTTTAAAGGCCGCCCCACACTGGAACTCGCATGCGGGTTGCGAGTTTTTGGGTTTTCGGGTTTCTTCAAAAGCAAATAATACAATCTAAGCTGAGTGACCCACACTACCATCTAACAAGCGAGTCTGCATGTTTTTAGCTTGTGAGCGACCTTGCATCGCATTCCAAAAGTTGATTTTGAGTCAACTTTTGATTTTCCTCGCTGCGAGGTCTGCGAGTTCTGCGAGGTTTGCGGGTTTTTCGTTGAAGTCGAATTTTGGTTCGTTGTGCTGGTATTGCGACTATATGTAAGTTTCTGAAGGTGGACCGGCTTCACTGTATTCATGAAGTTACCATAAGGGAGCGGTCTAATTGCTCTATGAATTAGTATTATGCCCGCAAACTCAAAACCCGCAAACTCGCAACCCGCATGCGAGTTCCAGTGTGGGGCGGCCTTTACAGTGTACAGTCTGTCTTAAAAGTACCGCACTGTTGCGCGGTACTTTTCAGACTGACTGTACAGGAAACGCGTTTTACGGTTTGCGAGATGAAAGAGAACCACTGAATTAAATGCACTTCAACTTAATTATTTGTAGTCAGGGGTGTACCTATACATACGAGTAAGGAAATAGATAAAAGGTGAATGATAAATTCAAAGATTCTCTTTATATTTTGATCATTATTATGATGCGGTTCTCATTCGTTGTGCTTCGCAGCATTCTCATCGACCCCCTCACGCATCACGCCTTTCATTTCAGCTACGCCGCTGCTAGAATTGACCGTGGGCGGCAGCGGTTGAGTTCGCCTCTTTCTGGATACCTACACCATCTTTTCTCACTGTGCTCGACGCATTGAAAATCACGGACCTCGCTAATCATCTGTGCAGCTAATTAAATTGTTTCGACCCCCGATGAAGATATAAATGACGGATAATAAAACGGAATTCAATCGGACGTGTTTTAACGACGCGGCTCAGGGTTCTGTTGCCTTATGGTACCACGGAGAAAAAATATTTACTCCGCTAGGTGGGGTTCTGACGTCCCAAATATAGTACCTATATTGGAGTAGATTTTCGCCTTGTTTTTAGTTTTATCCATTAAACTCCATCTTACCGGGTTTCAATACTCCAAACAGTTATGCATGAGGAGTAGGAGAACTCCCAGGCTCCTTCGTTTACTCTGGTACATCAAGTGAGATACTTAAGTTACTCTGTCTCGTCATGGAATACTCCAAAGTTAGTGGTATATGAACACCCATAAAAGGAGTTTCCGAAATAAGGTGTTTGTAAATCCTTCGGGGAGTAAATATTTTTCTCCGTTATAGGTAGAGCGACGTTGTATACTAACGGGTGTGCACTTAGTTTCTGGAAAAAGACTGATCATCCGTATCTTTAAAACTATTAAAGCTATCAAAACAAACTTTCGTATAGTGAATAATCATTCATTTTGGTATGAGCATGCCAAAATTCAGACTAAACCGACTATTTTTTCATACAGAAAGGAGCTTACAACTAAGTCATGAACGCGGAAAAGAGTGGCGGAATTTTCACAAAAATAACAAAAATTCCAGAGAAACAACTTCTCTTCCCATTGGCGCTTTCTAGGTATTGCTAGAAAGAAAGCTTGTGCCATTAGAGGAACGGCACAAGCACGGGGAAGTGCGTGGCACATGCACAGTGTGCAGGTGTGTTGATTCGTGGCGAAAGTGCCCCAGCAGAAGAGGCTCGTTCTGGTAAAAGGTATTCACCATCTTGTGAGCGTTCCCGATACGTTTCCCGTCCTCCCGTTTTCCATTTTTCGAAGAAAAAATTCAAATTGTGATATTGTATACCAAAAAGGGTAGAGATACCATGATCCAGCATTCGGCAGCCGATAAAAGCAGCAGAGGAGCAATGAGACATGGATCTGTAAGCCATCATGATAAATGCTCAGTGCACAGACGAATCAAGCAATCACCTGTGGATGCTGGAATTAGATCGCCTAAAAGGGAAATTTTATGTAATGAAGATGGGGTAAAACACCACTTCGAGAGGCAGGCGCTCACAAAATGTGGAACCTCAGCCTGTTGACCACTTTTGACGCAATCTCCTGGTCAGTGGACCGCCAAATCCCCACGTGCGGTATCCAATCTTATGTTAGCCCTATGTAGCCAGTGCCGACATCGATATCTTTTGACAGCAGTGCTTAAATAAAGAAATTTTGTCACATTGGGAACATCACTACCCCAGGAAAGTATAGGTGTCATGATCACACCACAATGCAGTCACTGTGCGCGCGGAGCGCTGGATCTACGGGTCGCCGCACATGTACCGTTTGTGAGTCGCGAAGAGAATCTTCTTGGCATATCTCAACGGCGACCGAATGTGGACTTTTGAAGACAAAATAGTACTAAGGAAGATGTTAAGTGCATATCAGCGTCTATTTGAAGTCCATAACGCGCTATCCATCGCCACACCTGGACATGGAGGTGCCACGCAATTTCAACAGGAGGCGTCTGTATAGCACGTGGGCTCTAGACCGCCTGGGAGGAGAGAGCGCCTAATTCTTTTGACAGCTTTTAACTATTGTTGCAATTTATATATGTGCCAAATATCATCTTAGTCTAAGTTCAAACACTTAAGTTATGGCAGCACAAACTTTTTCCAGAAACTAAGTGCACACCCGTTATACCTAAACACCTTACGTCCCTTGCAAAATTATTCAGATAAAAAGTCGACCACACGCCTGAGGCTACAGAAAGCAACACTTAGCACCAGCATGACAGCCGTAATGCGTGGTGAAAACGAGCCGATTTATTCGCACAAATTATCCACTTGTGTCTGGAAGACATTTTACTTAAGTACCTATATGGTAAAATGTTGCTCCCTGCTGAGTCAGCAGAGTAAGGGAACGAATTAGGATATGATTGATTGAAAGGATTTATCAAATGTACATTTTCACATGGGATTGTTTATTCAAGGATTGTTCAGATCGAAGTTAGATCGATTGAGTAGAGTAGAATAAAAAACGAGGAACACAGGCATAACAACCTCAGAGTTGGTGACCTAGAACAGAGGTGACCCTTTAGTCATGACCTCACTAGAACTACAAATCCATTCACAGCGCCTTACAAAATGATGACCACGGTGGTGTCAAAATCCCGGAGAATATTGTCTTGGTAGCCAAAGTCCAAATAACACATTTTGGGCAATCAGTCTCAGTCCATTCTTCGGCGACTACGGTGCAAGGCCGATACTGTAGAAACTTGCATTTTGTACCCTTGACCCGACCTTGAACTGACCTCTGACCTACTTGAGCAAAAAAATTGGGCTCTTAAAATCCGCCTTGTTGAGAGCTTTCGATTGCCGTTTTCCCCGTCTTTCTACGACCAGCGGTTCGGAATCTGCCCCCCCCCCCCAGCAGGGCGCGTATGACTGAATAGCCCAGCGGGGCGCGGGTTAACTCTCGCCCCGCTGGGGGGCCAATTTGGCCCCCTGTGGTTTTTCCTGAATAGCAAGAAAACGGCGGAGCGCAGCGCAGCCAAATTTTTAGTACCTTCCCGGGCATCAATTTGACACCCTCACACAAAATTTCAAGTCCTAGGTCACCTTAGGTCAGGAGTTATTGAGGTCAAACTGAGGTCATGTTCGAGCAAAAATGAGCAAAAAAAGAAAAACATGAAATCTTGAAACGCTCACAAAAGCTACAGTTATCAAGCAATTTCAAAGTTCTTTATATGGTCATGTAGACAAAAGGCGGCGCTACAAAACTCTTATCTCGGATTTTCAAAAAAAATTGGATTTTGACCCCAAAAATTCAAAAAACTGATTTTTTTTTTAAACGCAACAAAAAACCAAAAAATTTCCAAATATCGAAAAAACGGAATATACGTGATAGTCCCTACCCTCTTCTATCTACATACCAAATTTTAGTTCGATACCTCCTTTTTTGGCCAATTTATAGCAAAAAAAAACTGTTCAAAATTGATGACGTCAACTTTTTGAACTCAATTTTTGGCAATTCTGGATCACGTAGCGCCAAACAAAGACCACCATTGAACTCCCCGTGACGAGCTGCATCGAATCGATACCCATTTTATGCAAAAATATCAACCTTGAAATTTGACCTAATTTGACCTGACCTTGACCTGACCTTGAGCTGACCTTCACCAGAACATAATCTAACCTGACCCAAAAGGCTGCCTGATCCATATAATCGTGTTTGGCATATAAAATGGATCATATATGCATCACATGATATATTCATATTTTGACCCTCAGTGACCTGACCTCTATGACCTGACCTGGGCCCAATCTTACCAATGCCGTAAATAGGATTTGGCAGCACTGGCCGGAGCTAATGGCACTGTGTTGTGACCTTGTCCAATGATTTTGATAGCGTGAATGGTTATGAATGTTGCCCGAACGAATGAATACATGAATGTTGAATAGTTATGAATGTTACCAAATGCCGTGAATGCGCATTCACGGCATTTGGTAAGATTGGGCCCTGGTACCAGTGACCTCAAATAGCAGAATATGTGTTTGACGAACATTTGCCCACCGATGATTCTCAATGAAATGCATTTTACTCGATTTTACAACGCATTTCTTGAAATGCCTGTAAACGGTGAAAATTCGACATTTGACCTGACCTGTGACATCATCGGTTTGATCAAATTGGGTCACAAGGTAGTTCCCTGGTAGGGCTATCCAACACCGTTCACCGCTTGTTGCTATCTTGCGTGGTTCTCGAGATCTTAGGGGGGGGGGGGCAAATTGCCCCCCCCAGTAGGGCGCGTTGCTCGGCAGACCCCAGTGGGGCGCGGGTTAAGTCACCGATATCAAAATTCCGAGATATACATTTTATAGATAATGTTGCTCTAATCAATCGCTAAAAGTTTCAAGGTAATCGATCAGTCGGTGTAGCTAATGACGAGTATTCTTATTTTTTTTCTGAGGTGAAGTCACTTGGCGTGACCTGGTGACCTGACCTAAGGCGACCTGGGTCTCAAATTTTCACAACATGTGCGGAAAAGATGCACAAACAGGTGTGCTAAAAACGGCGGCGCTCCGTGCCGCCGTTTTTGAGATATCTGCGAAAAACCGCAGGGGGGGGGGGCGTTCAAACCCCCAACCCCCCCCCCCCCCCCCCCCCCCGGCCCGGCGCGGGTTAAGCACCATTGGCATCTTTTGCAACATCGTAGACGCCGGACGGAGTCGGAGATATAAGCTTAGTTGCAACAAACGCTATGTAAACGCAAGATTCCTTTACTAAAACGCGTGTAAACGCGTCATTGAAATTATATCAAGATTGCCCTACCACCTTTACCTGATGATAAAGGAATCACTTCATATGGCACTACTACAAATACAACGCCTTAGGGCAAACTACTGCGCAAAATTGTTTACACACAGGCGCGCTGTTGTTATTTACACATAGCACATGTGGTACTTGTATGTTTATACTATATTTATATATTTACTATATTTACTATATTTACTATATTTATATATTTATTTATATACACTGTTGTATGTATGTTTTAGGGCCTTGGTGGCCTTGGTGGTATTGGACATCGGTTAGTATCAATGACCAAGGTGTTGGTATGCACGCTTATTTTGCATTCCAATTTGATTTTGAATTAATCTTGTCAAATGATTTTGATAGTGTGATTGATTATGAATGTTGCGTGAACGAATGCATAAGTGAATGTGGAATAGTTCTGAATGTTACCAAATGCCGTGAATGCGCATTCACGGGATGACGGTGAAAACAGGCAGGGTGCCTGGGGCGATTTGATCAAGGTTCCTGAAATTTACACGTGACGTTTGGCATGCAGAAGGCCCACGGAGGGGAGAAGTTCCAAATGTCACGTGACAAGTATGCCCTCCGGCGCCCTGTTTTCACCGGCGTCCCATTCACGGCATTTGGTAACTTTCAGAACTACCTATTCCACATTCACTTATTCATTCGTTCAGGCAACATTCATAATCATTCGTGCTATCAAAATCATTGGACAAAATTAGCTGCATGTAAATAAAAGGGATATCTTTGATATGAGAGCCGTTAACTCCGGCCAGTGCTGCCAAATCCTATTTACGGCATTCGTAAGATTGGGCCCAGGTTTCGGTGCAACACGACATGAACAACAGTTCCAGTCTCTTCGGCCATATTCACTATTGGCCGTATTCACAATCCCAAACCTACAAACCTACAAACCTACCAGTACCGGCCTACAGGCCTACAGCCTACAAACCTACAGCGCCTCTCCTCATCCTCGGATGGAAAACTTTCGTGTGATGTCAGCTCTACTAATGCCGAAGATTGGGTATCAGACTGGCAGACGTAAAGGTACTGAATGATGATAATTAGTTCAAAGTTCTTCATAATCCGCGCAGCACCACGGACCAGATCGCGCCCAAGTTGTTAGCTGAGCTATCAGTTTATATAGCCTTGGTGCCCCCACACAGAAGAGGTCTGATCGATATTGCTGTACTGTACAGTCTTAGGCTCAGTTTGAATTGAAATGAGCAGTTTTATTTGCAATTGATTTCGAATCTCTGCAGCCTTCAGATAAAATAATTTAAAATTTAGTTTAGGACAATACAAATTGACTTATTATTGACTTATTATTGAATAAGAAGTGATGGTGCTCATGTATATCTGCCAATGGTGAATTTGATAATGGGTCTATTTAGTGTTGGATGATTCCAAGGTGGGTATGGGGCGGGCAAATTGCAAAGCACAAGAACAGGGTCAATGAGGACCATGAGGTACCACACCACTTGGGATGACAATGCCACACCAGTGACCAACTGTGTGCTATGTGCATCAGCCAGGCTGGAAATCCACACTAGGCTGCAGCAAACAGGGCATTGAAGGTATAACTGGAAGAGGCCTTTGGGGCCTGTTGTGGGCATTGAATGCTGACTTTGTGTTGAGACAAAACTTGAATAAAAGGTCTTTTCTTCCCTAAATCCCTAGCCTTCCACCTGCTGTCCCCCATGCTTACACTTCTTTCAGACAATGTGCAGTGGTACAGTGATTCAGCACAGTTCTAGTACCACTGAGGGTGTATACTGCTCCAAGCAAAGTACCACATTATAGTCAATATGCACCATGACATTGCACATGGAGAGCACCTCCCCTCCACAATGACCAGGTCTGATGGAGATAGCCATACTTTGCAGCTTGCAGTGAGGGGTGGAGGAGGGGCATAATACTTATCTTTTCTTTACAGGACAAAGTAAGGAAAAACAATGGCAGCCAAAAGCAATGCATATATGGGAAGCACAACATCTTTGAAACAGTAAGTTTTAATGCAACTGTTATGTCATTTTAGTAGCTAGCCACTTTTTCGTTTTTCTGCTTTCTATTCTATCACAATATGCTGTCATTTACACATAATTATGGGTTCAATGCCAAATATAGGCCATGCAATCTGAGTGTATGATTTTGTATATGATACCTACCTATTCAATTCTAATTGCCACAGCTACTTTTATAAAGCTCCATAGAAGTGTTCAAGGGCTTTCTTGTGTTTTGGAATACTGAAGCCAGATTGGATGGAGCCAGATTGGATACTAATGATATAGGTTATCTGCATAAACAAAGTTTGTGTATGCATAATACAGTCACGTTTTATTTATATATTACATTTTTATTATGATAGTTACATGACATATTGTAATCTTTTATTTTCACAGAGTAGACAAGTCTGAAAAGTGGCTGGACGCTCTCAGTGATCCGCTGACGTCTCTGTACACATTCAACTCATCGATAGCACTGTCCGACCTAAATGGGGACGGAGACTCCAAGCTGATTGTGGCAGACCTGGGCACTGGCACCTACCAGATGAAACTGAAGGCAGGTGACCAGTAAAGACGTTGAAAGATCACGTAGCAGTGTTGAGTAGCCGAATTCAATTCAAACACAGCGTGTTGCAATTCAAATTAGCATTGCTGGTTTTTGTTATAGCTCCGCATCACTGGACTTCATATACTCGTGTATCACAGCACTGACTGTGACTGATAACTAACTATGTGACTGCTCACCTGCCAGGTGTTTCGCGGCACTTCGCTGATGTCGGAGAACACGCTGCTGGACCTGCCGACCGGCGTCGTCACCTTCCACATGGACACCACGGAGCCGCGCGTACCGGCCATCGCCGTCGCCTCGGGCGCCTACATCTACATCTACAAGAACCTGCGGCCCTACTTCAAATTCACCCTGCCCACGCTCGAGGTCAACCCGTCGGAGTTCGACCTCTGGACCCAGGTACGCGCAGAGTGGCGAATTGTTCGACTTTTTGGGGCCGGGGGATTGCAGAGGGCGAATGTTCGACCTTTGGACACAGGCGTCGGCTTAGGGGTGTTCAGTTCGACTCCCAAACATTGGTTTGACTCGTAGTTCGATCTCTGGACTCCAAGAGGCAGCCATAGGGCGCTTAGTTCGATCTTTAAACCCTGGGAGGTTGTATATTTCGACGTTTGGACCAAGGTATCAGCAGAGTGATGCACAGTTCGACAGTTCGACGTCTGGTCAACAAAGTATGTAGGTACAGCTAAATACTAGTATGTATATAAAACAAGTAAATTCCACATCGATATCTGGGTGCCGCTAATGTATTTGTTTCAGGCCCAAATGTTGTGTATCATTGCCTCATTCTAGAAGTACTCCATCGAGACATCGCTGAACTCCTCTATTATTTGCTCAGATGTATGTACGTTATAAGCGTGACCCTGGTAAGTATCCGGTGATTGCCATGTTTTCCGTCAGACGCCTGGTGATCATGTCCCTCCCAAGTCCCTCCCACGGTGACTATAAGTCCTTCCCAGCCACCTCATGGCCGCTGTGCTCCCTTTACTGTTTGCCACTGTCCCTATCTGATGACATCTGCTGGCTCTCCTCTGCCCCAGGCTCGTGACGACCTGATCGACCATGCGACCCTGTACGACACCCTGGACCTGCTTCGGAAGGACGTGGGCGCCCACTGTCTGACCACGCGCACCCAGCACCTGCTCATGTGCCGCACACCTGAGGAGCGACAGACATTCATCGACGCGCACAAGTACTTCATCGTCAAGAAGCGGGTAGGTGCTCGTCGGATATGTGTGTAGGGGGGGGGGGGGGGGAGAAGGGGTCAAGCGACGCATGAATTATAGTTTTTCTCCTCTTTAGCGAGATCATTCGGAGTTATCAATGTCAGGATGGCCGAGCGGTCTAAGGCGCTGCGTTCAGGTCGCAGTCTGGTTCTCCAGGCGTGGGTTCGAATCCCACTTCTGACAAACTGTCTTGCTCTTCTTTTTAGCCCGTTATCTGGCTCTCCTCTCGTCAGGAAAACCCAAGCCATGATCCGAATAGTTCATCTACGCGCTAAAATGCTTCTTCTGTCGTTCTCCTGTTCTGGAGATAAAACAAACCATTTGGCAGTCGAACAATTCTATTTGCTTTTAAAAAGCGGTGAGCTGGGCAAAAAGCTACTAACTTAGTAAGCATACCTAAATAATTAACCCCTTCTTTTTGCATTTTGCACCTGCATTAGAGGTGATCGACATGTATCGAGGGTATCCGATGCTTGGAAGAATGGATGCAACTACTCTACGGAAATAACCACCAGTCAGTCGCCCCAGCGGTTGCCGGGATATAGGCCTATCAAAATTCTCACTACAGCAGAACAACTAGAACACTCTTGGCTTTTCACGTGGCACGAGCCACGGCGGTCACCTTTGCTTCAACACTAGTCGGTTACGGGGTAGAAGGGATGGGGATACCCTACTAAGGAGACCGCAGGTCAATCGGCCCAGCGGTTGCTGACTTACTGAGTTATAAGCCTCTCAAATGGCTTACAGGCCGGGCCGGGCTGCTCATATTGATATTTTTCCCTTATACAGTAGAATTTGCTTAAAGGGACCCTCCCACCTTAACATTAGATTTGAGTTGAGATAGCCAAGTTTGCGGCCAGGCTCAGAAACCACCATTTATCCTGGTCGCACCCCCCGCAGCTTTATAGTGTTCAAGAAATTTCTTCCCTTTACTTGCAGGGTGGGACCAGCGTAGTCCCTATCTCTTAACACTTACGGACTCTGATGACGTCATCAAGCCCATTGACCGCGCGTTATAAAATAAAAGTCTTACATTTCAAAAACGGGTGAATATTTTTCGGTGAAATTTGGTAGATGTTCATTTTCGCCCTTTCTGATTCACGGTACACCACTTTTATGCCAATTCATTAACTTTTTTAAGGTGGGAGGGTCCCTTTAATAACCTCAGCTAATAAATCCAGCCGCATTGTGGCCACATGAGCTGTTCACCGATTTCTCCATAGAAACATAACTGACTCCGGTAAATAAAACCACCTCTTAATTAATCCAAAACGTAGTATTACCAACGTGCATTTATTAAGCGGATTCTACTGTATCTCCTGGGAAGGGGAAGCCGCTATCTTCCCTCTGGAGTATTCAGCGCCCAGGATCTGCACTTCCAAAAAGATGGTGGTACATGCGTTCAAGCACCGACAGACCATCTCTGGCGAAGATGGAAAAGAGAGTACCTACATACCCACAGGAGAAAATGGCATGCCGATCGACGGAACCTAGCAGTCGGCGACGTGGTGCTACTAGCAGAATCTGACACGCCCCGAGGTCACTGGCCGCTGGCGCGCGTGCTGCAAGTGTTCCCGGGGCCTGACGGCCGAGTCCGCGCCGTACAGCTCAAGACGGCAGCGGGTGGCACGTATACCCGGCCCGCCACAAAGGTGGCGCTTCTGGAACTCGCCCCGTCACCTCCGCAGTCATCTCATTAGCCAACCCCGGCTCTGGCCATGAGCGAATTCCCAGATTCCCAAGTCCCAGTGCCCAGAGTCATAGAAACAAACGGTCCATCTTTATTTGACAATACACACAGCAAAATAATATTCTCAGTACCACCATGCGACCTCCTCTCCTCCCCTGCTTACGCTCCACTACACGTGTCAGCCATACAGCACGTTCCATAACGTCACGAACGGCGCGCCGGCCCGGCCGCGGCCTGGAGAGCGCGCCGCACACCGGAAGAATGGGAGCTCGCGCGTGCCGCTGGGAAGAGGATGCACCGACAGTAGGCGTGCCGCCGGCTCTAAATAAAAATCGTCGTCCTCCAAGACTCCGAAAAGATCGGCGAGTGGAGACAATCGGTGCGGCTCCAACCTGGGCACTAGCGGCTGCTGGGACGCTGCGGCCGGCGGCGCGTGAGCTTCACGGACCATAGCCTGTAGCTCCGGCTCGTTGGTGGCAGCCCGGAGCCGGCTGTACTCGGCCGTGCAGAGCTCGTGAGCCCGCTGCTCAGCAGGTAGGGCTCGCCGCACGCTGTCCCGCTCGGCGCGGAGGGCCTCGAGTTCGGCCTCCGCCGCGCCCGCCCGCCGGACCGCTTCGTGAACGGCCCTCTCCTCCATCTCTCTTTGTCGGTCCCTCAGCCAGTGGGCCTCGGCGGTTGAGGCCCGGAGCTGCCCTGACACTGCTGCTGTTTTAGCACGCTCTTCAGCCAGCAGAGCGTCAGCTGCAAAGAGCTCCGCCTCAAGAGCAGCCTGACGCCTCACCAGCGGTGCGAGCCGGGTCGCCGCCGCCACGAGGTCACGGGGGACAGCGGCACAGTGCCAGAACCATACATGACGTTTTAAGGCACGTAGGCCGCCTAGCTGGCGCCTTCTGCCACCTCTTCGTTGCCGTGCAAGCTCGCACTCGCTTTGGGAGAGTCTCCCATCGACCGTCGCGCTGTGCGCACGGACTGATCTGCCCCGCTCGACGCCTTGCCCGGCCCAGCGGGTCGCCGACCCTTTCGAGCCTCTGGTAGAGGCCGGGACATTTCTTGTAGCGGGGGAAAACTTTATGAATTTTGAAGAGTGTACTGAAGAAATCCAGACGATAGATGACGACAGAAACGACAGACAAGGACGAAATGAAGAACGCAGAGTAGACACGTAGAGCAGAAAGCACAATGAGTATTGTCGATGAAGTTCACTGTTCAGAGCTCAGAGTTCAGAGTCCGCCGGAGCGGGCACATCAACGCCGCTGCGGACGGGGCGCCGTCAGATTCGTTCACCGCGCTGCAATACGCCGGCGCTCGTCGGGGCGCCGGCGAAACCGCGCACTGCCACTGAGCTCTGCGCTCAGTGGCGTTCACTTTGGCAGCCCGCTGGGGTGCCCGTTCACTTTAGCAACCCGCTGGGGGTGCCGTCGGAATCGTGCGCGGTGCTTGATTCCGTCACTTCACTTACACCGGCGCACATCGGGGCGCCGGCGGAGTCACGCGCCGCCACCGAGCACTGCACTCGGTGACGTTCAAGTGGAGACTGCCCGCAGCGACTCGAGAAGCCGCCGCGGACAAAGAGAACAATCAGGTCGTACGTCAAAAAGCAATTAGAATATGAAACGAGAAACTTGTGAGCAGAGTCAGAAAAGGCTCACGCAGCACGTTTGGTAATATGATGCGGTGCGCGGCGAGCACGCACGGCCGTCAAGCGTGAAGCGATAGCGCGAGTGACAAATTGTAGGTAGTTAAAACATGAGACGAGAAACTATCACAAGAGCTGGTCCAGGCTCACGGGGCACGACCAGTGCTGAGATCCTCACGGGGTCGAAGATGACCGCAGTTTTTCTGAGCACTCCTTGTCTGGTGGTCTGCGTCTCACTGTCTTGGAACTGGAAACTCGGCGAAATCCCTCGGCGTCCCAGAGGCCAGACAGCACCCTGAGCGCCTTCGACAGGGAGAAATAGCCGCAGAAAACTATTGACGAGCACGTTGATGGTTGCAACAAGCAAAAGCACCAAAATTGAGGTTTATTTTTTGTTCTGGTGTAAAAGCATTTTGTCTAGGAACTTGTAATTCTGCCACATAAAATGTGATAATATTGCCACTGAATCTGGAAAATTTGAATGATGTGGGTCGTAGAGTAAGGAGATTGGAAATGTTCAAAACCGTGACAGTTTTTTAAACACCCTGTAGCCCAATACTTGGTAGGAGGAATGAAGCTACCCTACAAAAATTACCGCAAGTAAATCGGTCAAGTGGTTGCTGAGATATAAGCTTCGCAAAAGCGTGACCACGGCCGGCCGCTCATACTCAGAAATTTCAGACTTCACTCGCTCCGCTCGCTCCATAATGAACGTCAACTACTGTCGTTTCTCCCATTGCGTTTGTGCCCCAATCGAAATAAATGTTTTGGTTTTGTTTTGTTAGGTTAGGCCCTGTCAGTCTGACAAGACTATTTCAGAGCCGGAAGGATGATAGGAATTAGGGGGAGACATTGGTTTGGACAGGCACCCTAGTGACTAGTGAGTCACGGGGCTGAGCCCATCCGTTAGGACAGGCCGACCAGCCTCCCCAAGTACTCACTGCACCCGGCTACGGGTGTGCTTTCTTGTGAGCAGCGGAGCCTCTCCAAGGGAGCAGCCCGCATGAGATAAAGTTGCCTGTCCACTGTCCAGCCCGGAGCGAGGGTTGCGGCGTGGAGAAGAATGATTTGAGCATCCTGAGGATGAAAACGACGGACGGGATATGCAATCGAAATAAAGGCAACATTTTACATAAATGCTCAACAGTAACATAAAGTAGACACTACCCTTTAGCTGAACACCGGCGACTTTATTGTCGTTGTTGTCGTCACAATCGCCTCCTGTTTTTGCTGCAGACGGTGATCACCTGCATCACGACCATGAAGAAGAACATGGCGGAAGAGGATGCCGTCAGCTGTCTGGTGCTGGGCACGGAGAGCTGCCAGGTGTACGTCCTCGACCCGGAAGCCTTCACCCTGCTGATGAACGTGAGTCGACGGCAGTCGTGCTACTGAGGACCGCCCGCCCCGAAAAATCGGGGACGGGACCATGAATGTAGTCAGGATGGCCGAGCGGTCTAAGGCGCTGCGTTCAGGTCGCAGTCTGGTTCTCCAGGCGTGGGTTCGAATCCCACTTCTGACAAATTGTCTTGCTCTTCAGATCTCATACACGTGGATCGTGCGTTGTGTACTAAGGTGGATCTTATTTCTACCATAACACACTTAGTCTTATTTATAAGTTATGCCACATTTTGTATTCATCTGATTTTGGGAAAATAATAATCTTGGGAAAGTGCTTTTCCTGGATGAGTTCCCTTTCTACATAGTCTGTTCTTTTCCCTTTATCAGTTGACTGAACAAAGGGTGGATGATCACTGTCAACTGTTTCAGCTGCACCCGCCGAGCCACCCGTGCCCAATATCCTGACAGTGACAGCTGCCTATTATTTTTGCGATCTTGACTAATGGATGTATGCCCCTATTTCAGCTGCACCTGCCCAGCGTGCCCAGTATCCTGACGGTGACGGGCATGTTTGACGTGGAGTACCGCATGCTGATCGCCTGTAGAAACGGTAAGCACTGGTCTGCGGCGCTTTTCATAAGGCGACTACATAGCCAAGCTGTACAAGTGCCGGTTACATTTTCATCGACTTTCATCGACTGATGTGTGTTTTATAAGACGAGCTCGGACGCCGGCTACTTCCACAGTCGCTTTTGGGTGCCCAAAACCCAATCCATCATTTCCCGACCATGAACGTTCCGATTTTGTAGTAACGATGCTGTTTTACATTTTGAAAGTAATGGCTTAGTTTAGCTAGGCGCTTTTCAGTTTTGACGAAAGGAACTTCCTGAGATGTCCTCGTATTGATTCCCTGTTTCTAGAACTTCTCGCCACCCACTCCCCTGCTCTGTGTGTACCCAGGGAAGATCTACACTGCCAAGCGCGGCATGGAGGAGGGCCGACTGACTGCTGAGCTCTCCTCTCAGCCGGTGGGTCTGGAGCGGCGCGAAAAGTCCTTCCTGGTCGGCTGTATGGACGACAACGTCTACTGCTTCTCCAACCACGTCAGTCGGGACTCGGAAGGCGGGGACAGTGTGGGGGAGGAAAGGGAAGAGGAGATGTGTCGGGAGTGGCTGTGTTAATGGCATTGGTCGTATTGGAGATGTGAATTGTGAATTATGAATTCTCCCATGATAATTCATTCATTGCCTGATTCATTCATTCATTCAATCGGGCAGTCATTCATTCATTCATTCATTCATTCATTCATTCACCATTCATTCATTCATTCATTCATTCATTCATTCATTCATTCATTCATTCATTCATTCATTCATTCATTCGAGCATTCATTCATTTATTCATTCATTCAAACCTTTTATTGATTGCTTCTGCTCAGTCATTGATTCCTTTGTTCATTTATCCACCTATTCAATATCAGTAGTTTTTTTTTTTAAGAGAAGAGGTGGATTACCAGAAAGTTATGTATGTGCCCTTTCAACCAAAGCAGATAAACTTATGACCAGTTGCCAAATCATTCAATGTTTGCCCTTGGGATCGACAATAGTCTCGATAGCTTTGCCTTCTGAATATTATCTCCCTATGTCTTCGTCGGTTATATGCCGTCAACATTTGCTTGGAATAATATGTATATCGAGAGCTCCCGGAGATTTGACCTGACCTTGTTGCCACCGTCTACTTTCCACAGGGCAAGCTGCTGTGGCGCCTGCGTCTGGGCGCCAGTCTGCTCTGTATGACCACCATGGAGCTGGCCAGCCACGCGCAGAAGCTGCTCCTCGTCTCGCTGTCAAATGGCGAGGTACGAACCTACCAGGACCGTCAGATGGTGGACTCGTTTCAGCTGGAACACGCCGCCAACGCGCTGAGATTTGGACGGTTCGGCCGCGAGGAGAATGTACTACTCATCGTGGATCAAGGTAGGTGACGGAGAGGGTGATGGGAGTGAAAGGACAAAATGGCAGATGGGTAAGGGGAGAGAGTGTCATGAGGGTGAGAGGTGGTACTTGAAGTGCTATGTTACATTAACTTGTCAATTATGGTCAATGGGCAGCACGATGGCAACTCGTAGAACGATTGGCAGGTGTGGTGATTTTTCATTCATTCATTCATTTCGGCTGACTGGTGTTATGCTCATTCATAAATGGTTCTCGGCAAGGATAATATTTAAAATTAAATATACTCAGCTGTTCCGGTCTCACTCACTCACTCACGGGCCACAGGCCGTAACTTAACCCTGGTTCTCTGTTCTCGCTCAGCCGGTGGCCTACAGGTGAAAATACTCCGACGCCGGGCCAAGTTTGAGCCCATGGAGACGGCCAGTGCCCTGACAGCTGGCAAGGAACTCAAACTCAACATTCCCAAAAAGACAAAACTGTTTGTCGACCAAACAATGAGAGAGCGGGAGAATTCGCAATGTGAGTAGCGGCGACCAGCCTGGGCGGTACCTCCGTCGTGAATCACAGAAAGTATTCATGTAAAGCTGGATTTGTTTCAGATTGTTTAAGTGCGTCTCGAACGTGTTCTTCCTTTTGATGCCGCATGACACTATTCTAACTCAAAACAGGATCGATAAACTCCATGGGTAGTGTTACCAGCTGACGTGTCTGAATAATTCCAAAATCTCCTCTGTGATACAAAATACCGCCTCCCTCTCACCGCCCACGCCTGTGTCTCCGTCCCGGCAGCGATGCACCGCATCTTTCAGTACAACCTGTACCTGTTGCGATTGGAGGCCGCTCGCCAGTACGTCAAGTCGCTGCAGATGAGCCTGACGCCCGTCACCACTGAGGAGCAGCCCGTCCGATTGGCTGCACAGGTTCGTCTGCGAACGGGGGAGTCAGCTGGCTGGTCATGTTATTGGTTGCGGGTTGGGTACGGGATGGTGTCGCCTGTCCAGGGCCGCCTTGGTCTGACGTTTGAGGAAGGCGTAGGGATTTATTTGTGTGATCATGGCTGCGGAGTGCAGGTGTCTGGCAGCAAAACCCTCTAGTTGTGGATGGGCTTGCGAGATGTGCGAAGGATCGCCTGGCAAACAGTTTGTCAGAAGTGGGATTCGAACCCACGCCTGGAGAACCAGACTGCGACCTGAACGCAGCGCCTTAGACCGCTCGGCCATCCTGACACGAAAGTAGGTGCGAGAGCAGAAATAAAAATTCAATGCATGAGCCTTCAGTCATCTGTGTGTGTGTGTTTGTGGGGGTGGGGGGGGAGGGGCTTTCCATGTGTCATCTATCCACTTGAAGCTTCTCCCAAAGTTCTAATAAAGGTAGGCGATGAATGCAGTCGGTCAATAATCTGAGGCCTTTTCGTCTGTCTGCAGGTGCTGGGGCTGGGCCCGATGTTCAAGATCCGCGTGGAGCTGCAGAACACCTCTGCTCTGAAGATTGTCCAGGACCTGGGCATCCGCGTGCACGCCGACGAAAAGCTCTACCAGGTGCAGCGGCGATTCATGCACGTGAGTTTGAGTGTAGGTGGTTTGCGGGTCACAGAGACCTGTCTGGATTTGTCTGTAAATCAGTGGGAATCGGCGGAAGTCTAAACCCTACCTTAAAGGGACTATCCCACCTTCTAAAATGTTGTTAAAACCAGTTAAATTGTGCCCGACTTTATAGATTGGATGACCAGGAACACGGTTCTGGCATTTATTTTTCATTAAACATCTTAGGCTTCCCATATTCCAAACACAAACTTTCAAATATGTGACGTCACAGCCCAAAATTACCTCCTTCCCCAGGCCACATTACTGTCATAAAACTGATTCTTTTTACTCTGATGGCACCACAACGAAGTTCAGACCAAGTTTTAAGCGATTTTTCAACGAACAAACCCATTTAAATCAGAATGACTAAACGAGGTGACGTCACACTAACGGTCGCTCCATGTTGAAGATAGGGCCTTGTACAAGGCCCATTTTCAAATGAAGGGAACGAATTTCTTCAACACCAAGAGGCCGCGGGGGTTGCAACCTAGATAGATAGTGGTTTCTGAACCTCGCCGCAAACTTGGCTATCTCAACTCAAATCCCATGTTAAAGGTGGGATAGTCCCTTTAAGTGCCCTGAACCCTACCTTACCGTGTCCGTGTGTTAGGCGAGCTGGTTCGATCCTCAAGACCAAGCTTCTCACATCTTCGATCACGCTTCCTTGTCCAGGCTGACAGTCACCCAACCAGACAACCGGTGATGACGGCACCTCCTAAAGAGCACAACACAGCCACGCAATGACCAATGTCGACCGTTTGCGAAGCTGGGTGCCGGTCATTGTTATCCTGTCCGTATTACTATGTCCCATTTTCCACCGGACAAGTTCAGTTACTGGAACGTACCAGCAGATGGTCGAACTATGTAGCTTAACGTCTTTCTCTTTATTTTTCTTCCCACATGTCATGTATTTTTGAAATGCTCTTTTGTTGTTGTTCGGTTAGGCCCTTTCGGTCTGACAAGACCATTGCAGAGCCGGAAGGATGATAGGACTTAGGGGGAGACATTGGTCTGGGCAGACACCCTAGAGAGTCACCGGGGCTGAGACCGTCCGATTGGACAGGCTGACCAGCCCCCCAAGCACTACCTGCACCCGGCTACGGGGTGCGCTCCCTCGGGAGCAGCGGTGCCGCTCCAAGGGAGCAGCCCGCATGGAATAAAGATGCCTGTCCAGCCCGGAGGGGGTTGTGGCGTGGAGGAGAAGGATTTCAGCATCCTGAGGATAGAAACGATGGAACGGAGCTGAAATGCTCTAAGGCAAGCAGACTGAAATGATATATCCCCCAAAATAAATAAAATGCTGATCGCCGTGTCGTACTCTGCCGTCTACCCGCAGGCACCGATTCTGATCCCGGGCGTGACGTACGTGTACGACACGCTGGTGGAGTTCGTCTCCGACCTGGGCATCTCCGACCAGGTGCGCGTCTTCATCACGCGCGGCACTCAGTCGCGACCCATCCTCTCGGCAGTCATCAACATGCCCGTAGCCGAAGTGGCCGTCTCCGCCTAGACTGCCACCTGGCGGAGAGGTTCGGCGGTAGCGATCGAGACGACATCTATTGAAGGAGTCTGGTACTAGGGTGGAGTCCGGTCGTGAGGGACGATGGAAGAATGCGTGATATTGATATCTATGTTGTTTTGTCTCAGATGATCAGATCTCACCAGAAAGTCATATTTATTTTTCATTGTAATACTCTTATTATGTTTGCCTTCGTTGTGATAATGTGAATGAATTAATTTCATTGCATTTGTTCATGCTGTATTTTACTAGCTGTCGACATCGACAAAGGTCAAATGTGTTTGGATTTAAGTTTCTGTGCACATCTTCGCAAGTTCCTGTAGTGTCACCATGCCCTGAAGACAGAGTTTATCGGTCAACGTATCCGTCCAGCAGTCCGTCCACTTTGACGTGTCGGTATTTTGCGCAGAATTCGCCGTTAGTGATGGATGATTCATGTTTGAAACGGTGCACCAATGATCACTTGATGTCCTGCTATTTTGTTTGAGCCATTTAGGCTTTGTTTATTTAGTGTAACATCATGTGGCAACAGAGCACAGGAGAACTATGGACTTTGCTTTTATATTCAGTTGAGCTTCGAACATATATCAAACTTCAAATATGTGTTTTCGTTGTTAGTATAGGGTAAATGCCAACTACATTCAGTCTCAAATTGATGTGGTGCTAATGGCTATTTTGCCCTGTTTCCAACACAGTTGTGAAAATGTGTTTTGATTTTGGGTCTTGCAACGTGTTCTAGTCACATCTAATCGTTGTTTCAACTTTCAGTCACTTCGACAATGTTTGATGAGCTTTGTCGACCAGTTTTGATTGCTCACGTTTCTTCATTTCATGATGCCTGTATGTCCTATGTTTATCTGTGAAATATATTGGTGTCACCTGTCCCTCTTCTGCAACCTGACTGATTCCCTAGTAAGTGGTATCTGGCATCAGACTCTCAGTAAACTGTGTGTGTGGATCGCAGGGGCGGATCCAAGGGGGGGGGGTCACATGGGTCATGGCCCCCCCCTTGAGGCCCGGGGGCCCAAAGACCTGCCAGGGGCACCACCGGCCTATCAAGGGTATCACAGTCCTGACAGGGGCACCACAGGACCGCCAGGGGCACCACAGGCCTAGCAGGGACACCACGGGCCTGGTGCCCCTGGGCCCTGACAGGACTGTAACGCCCCTGACAAGCCTGAAGTGTCCCCGGCAGGCACGTGGTGCCCCTGACAGGCCTGTGGTGCCCCTGACAGGCCTGTGGTGCCCTTGCTAGGCCTCTGGTGCCCCTGGCAGGCCTGTGGTGTCCATGACAGGCCTGTGGTGCCCTTGCTAGGCCTCTGGTGCCCCTGACAGGCTTGTAATGCCCCTGGAAGGACTGTGGTGCCCCTGGGCCCTGACAAGCCTGAGGTGCCCCTGACAGGCCAGTGGTGCCCTTGCTAGGCCTGTGGTGCCCCTGGCAGGCCTCTGGTGCCCCTGACAGGCTTGCGGTGCCCTTGGAAGGACTGTGGTGTCCCTGGGCCCTGACAAGCCTGAGGTACCCCTGACAGGCCCGTGGTGCCCTTGTTAGGCCTGTGGTGCCCCTGGCAGGCCTCTGGTGCCCTTGCTAGGCCGCTGGTGCCCCTGGCAGGCCTCTGGTGCCCTTGCTAGGCCGCTGGTACCCCTGCGCCCGGAAAGGACTGGTGCCCCTGAAAAGTCTGAAGTGCCCCTCGGCAGGCCCGTGGTGCCCCTGACAGGCCCAAGGTGCCCCTGCGAGGCCGGTGGTGCCCCTGGCAGACCTCTGGTGCCCCTGGCAGGTCTGTGGTGCCCCTGGCAGGTCTGTGGTGCCCCTGGCAGGTCTGTGGCGCCCCTGGCAGACCTGTGTTGACTGGTGCTAGGTCGCTGGTGCCCCTCACAGACCTGTGGTGCCCCTGGGCCTTGACAAGCCTGAGATGCCTGGCTATGACAGGCTCGTGGTGCCCCTGATAGACCAGTGGTGCCCTTGCTAGGCCTGTAGTGCCCCTGGCAGGCCTCTGGTGCCCCTGCTACCCCTGCGCCCGGAGAGGACTATGGTGCCCCTGAAAAGCCTGAAGTGCCTCTCGACAGGCCCGTGGTGCCCCTGGGCCCTGACAGGCCCAAGTTACCCCTGCGAGGTCGGTGGTGCTCCTGGCAGGCCTCTGGTGCCCCTGGCAGGTCTGTGGTGCCCCTGGCAGGCCTGTGTTGACTGGTGCCCCTGCTAGGCCGCTGGTGCCCCTCACAGGCCTGCGGTGCCCCTGGAAGGACTGTGGTGCCCCTGCCCCTAGGGGTGCTCATGGGCCCAACAGGCCCGTTGTGCCCCTGACAGGCCTGTCGTGTATACTTGCTAGACCTGTGGTGCCCCTGCTTCCTGGCAGGCCTGTGGTGCCCCTGGCGGGCCTGTGGCGCCCCTACAAGGCCGTAGGTGCCCCTGACAGGTTTGTGGTGTCCCTGAAAGGACTTTGGTGCCCCTGACAAACCTGAAGTGTCAAGGACAGACCCTTTAGACGCCAGGGTCAAGTTCGTCGGACTGACAACGATTTGCTTACCTGACAACGTTCCTGGTAAGTACTCACTACTCAGCGTCCACAACATATATACACAGCACATTCATATATACTTGCTTACAATTGGTAAATGTTGTGGCTAAGAGTTAAGATACTGACTAAAAATAAAAAATAAAAAGAAAAAAACTGAAAATGGGGGCACCACCAAAATGAAGTGGACGAAATCCGTTGAGTTTTTAATTTTGGGTATAGGTAGGGGCACCACATCGATTCATGACCCTCCCCTTGGAGTTTTCCTGGATCCGCCCCTGGTGGATCGAACGCGAACTGAACAGTGAACCTGCCATATAACACTAATCGGCAGTCAGCACATGACGCTAGTCAGGACTCGGGAATCGTAGCGCCAAATCTATTTCAGGCTTTCACTTGCTATAGACGAAAGCCAACGAAAAAGCATATGCTTTGCCCGAAGGCGATAAAACACGGAATACCAGAAAACTTCGCAACAATGCCGGCGGTAATAGACGCATTTACTCTTCTGCGCATCACTGATAAACATTTTTATTTTCATATTCCAGGGCCCTGTTTCACCGGTGATGGCAGCACGCTGCTATTGCCTATTCCATTTCGCGAGCTGACGTCACACTTCTGGTAGTGTTGGAGGAATAGGCTTGCTGACGTCTCTGCATGGAAACCCAATTTGACACGTGTAATAGCAGCGTGCTGCTATTACCGGTGAAACAGGGTCCAGGATAGTGGGTTCTATGGCCTGCGTATCTGGACTCTGGTTGGGTTACCCACGGGGTTACCTGGCTACCCATTTCAATTTGAATCCAGATAGAGTGGCGGTTTTTCGAGTCGTTGGTTTCTTTTGGTGATAAATTGGCCGCTCTAAACGGGATGAGCTGACAGACAACGCCATCTATCGCACTTCCTTGAAGGAGATGGTCACGTGACCTGACGTATTTCGCGGATGCAAGACGCCATTTTTAATGGGCAGTGTGCTATGTTGTTTACGTCTCGGCGATTTGGGGCGAGGAGGGTGATGAGTGGTGATTCGTGATATTTTGGTGAAGGCCAGTGATGGAGAGCTCCAAAGAAACTAAAATCATCTACCACATAGACGATGAGGAAACGCCTTATCTGGTGAAGATCAATAAGCCACCAGATGCAGTGACCCTAGGTGACTTTAAAAATGTATTAAATAGGCCGAATTTTAAGTTCTTTTTCAAGTCTATGGATGATGACTTTGGGTAAGTACAGCCTGAGGTAATTTTTTTGTGTATGAATGTGTTCCGTCTTCAATGTTGGTAGTGAAGGTGTGTGAATTCTGTTATCTTCATGAGGTTGTGGAAAAAAGTTGCTTAGTTTTGATACTACAACCAAATAATGGATGATGATTTGATGCAATGCTAACAAAGTATGTTAGGATTATAGAATCCTTCCTTTCTGTGGTTGATCTCTTCATCTCTGTTGTCAGTTGAGTCAACATATTTCGCCTTTGGGACAGAAGGCCCTGCACGTTTTAGTAATAAATTGGCTGTAAGTGCATTTGAGTAAAACATACATTCCATCCTAAATGTGTATCTAAATTATATATTTTTAATCGGCATGTCTTCAGTTTTTCTCGCCTCTGATAAACATCAGTAGGCGGAACTATGGTCAAGCGTACCCATTTTCGGGAACGCATTTTCGTTCCCATCTTTGGGAACGATAAACCCAAATATGGGAACGCCATGTAGGCATTATTTAAAACAAGAAAAAGAACCGTTAAATGACGTCCAAAAAATATAAAACGATCGTGAACCGCCTGATATTTATCTCAATATTGTTGGGAAAGAGTTTGATATTGTAAGGCCCATCGTAGTTTCAAATCGTTCCCCTATTTCTAAAGCAGTCCATCATCCGGGCCGCGAGCCCAAATTTGGGAACGCTCTCGTACACTGGCGCTGCAAGCGTTCCTTATTATGGGAACGGCGTACCCAAAATTGGGAACGATTTCACCGACGGCTTTCAGGGGCTCTTTTTTTTTCAGCATCACGTCCAACGCCGCAAATTATTGTTAACGCAACAATCATCAGATGACCTTTCCGGCAAGACCGTCGCATGTTTCGCCCGGTCTTCTGCGCTTTTATTCCCGTCGATCTCGCAACGGGCACGCCCCCCCTCTGCAGGATTACGTAATTCACAACGCTCAGCGATGTTCAACAAGGTCTTCCATACCTATATACACTGTCCGCGCCGAGGGTGGAGGCATGTAAAACACCTGTCTGTTTAACACTGATAGTTGATGAGCACAAGTAAGTATCCAAAAATGGGAACGCTGAAATGTTTCACTCTCAAAACACCTAGTCCCAATATAAATCTACTTTTTTCCTTTCTTAACCCTCGCCCGCACATGGGGGGGGGGGGGGTGGTTGCCACCCCCCCAGGCAGTCTTTCTGCTCTGCACTTAACATTTTTAGAGCTAGAAGGCTGATTTTTCGTATAGCTGCTCGTCTATCCTTTCTTGATGTCCACTGAAAATTTCAAGGTTCTGTGATTTTTGGTTTCGGAGATATGACCTTGTTTTTCAGGTCATGTCATGACCCAAATGGCCAATTCTCAATATCTTGCGTTTGCCATGGGCCTTGTGAGCTTTTGACACCCTGATTTCGGCCTTTTTTGCCAGTCTTACCTCCCACCTATCATGGAACATGCTGTTCGACGATGTACAGGGGTCAAGGTCAGGGTCAAGGTCAACCTAGGTCATCTAAGATAATTGCGTTTTAGGCAAGCTGAATTTACTTTTTGTGAAGTTTTTTGACTGCATTTTTGGTAAAAGCTTCTCAGATCATGATTTCATGTGATATGGACCCAAAAACAATCGGTGCACACATCAGTATACACACAGACACACACAGACATACATACACATATAATTGACCTTGACCTAACTTGACCTGAAATGACCTCAGCAGCAAAATTCTGGTCGGATAGTGTGACAAAGAGGTTCTAGCTGGCTTGGCACCAGAAAACAGCATCGTCATCGGTATTTGATAAGCAGCGCACTTGATATCCAACGGTGACCCAAAACAGTAACATTTTTTAGTTTGACCTGACCTGGAAGGTCAATGACTGACCTGAGAAGGTAAAACTGGGTATCATTGGATTCGTCTCTTCCCAAAGAATCTTTTTGGTCTTTACTGCTAAGCTCTATCTCCAACAGGAACGAAATGGCGCGGGGGGGGTGGCAACCACCCCCCCCCATGTGCGTTCTAGGATGGGAAAATGGCATGTGCGGGCGAGGGTTAATGAGTGTAAGTGGCAAAAAGCCTGGTAGGATGGGCACGAGAAATGATCAAAATCAGCATAAAAATTATAAATAAGCCACACAGGGCGACCTGCATAAAAGAAATTCCCCCAAAACGATCGTGCTTAGAAATACCGAAGGCAAAAACCACGCTCATGACGCTCCTTAAAAGCAATGCTTAACAGCTAGCATCCAAATAAAATATGTCTTTCAGGGTTGATAAAATACAGCTGGATAATTTTCAACCGCTTAAACTGAGTTTACAACAGTAGTTCGGTAAATTCACTCACGTTCCACGCGGTCGTCCGCCCCGACACCAAAAGTCAACAATATTACCTCCGGACCGTCCGCGTCTTCGCTTGCATTTGTCAGCATCTGGTGTCGATAGTATGAAAGTTCATAACCAGGCGAAAATTATTATACTTAACCTCAAACTAAAAAATGCTTCATTTTCCTTAAAATTGCATGTTAAATGTCGTATAACCCATATTTTCAACATTTTGTCATTTTTAAAAAATCATTAAAAATATCATTCCACGGTCAATTTCCTTGTTCCATGGTCAGATTAAAGATAACTTTATGGAGATTTAGTAGATACTTCAATCAGCGTGCACTTTTTTGAGACGTGATGCACTTTTGAGTTTTAGTGGGCGAACGGCCGAAAAATTGCCTTCCGTTCTCATAAATGGGAACGCCCGTTCCCATATTTGGGAACTCCGTTCCCAAAAATGGGAACGTTCCTATATTTGGGTACTCATGACCATAGTTCCGCCTACTGACATGAGTTTAAATAGGTTTCCCCTCAATTTTATAAAGTCATTCCATATCTTTACACTGTCACTGCTTAGCATTTCCATACACATTAAGATTTAATTTTTGATTTGTTTAAACTCATTTCAGAAATAGGCATTTGTTATGCAGAGGAACAAGAGGATTGAGATAAGACTTTTTTCATAATAAATTCAAGAAGATTGAGAGAAATGTTCCAGACCTCAGAGCACTGGGCCCTGGGGCAGTGCTTATTCACACTATGTTTAGCCCTCATTATCCATCCTATCCTGTATAGGTGTATAGATAACTACCTAACCACCAACCTGCTTTTGGCATGTCTAGGAAAGATTCTTTTACCCTGAGCCTGCGAGTCATTGGCACTTGTCTAGGGTCTAGTTTGAACACAATATTTCTGGTCAGATATCATAGTTGCAGGAGCTTCTACTGAGAACTTGTAAAAGTATTTGCACACACATTTGTTCTATTTAAAATTCCTAACCAGCTTCTCAATCAGAATATCATCATAAGCCTGAGAATCATCCAAGCTTTCCTGCCTGCTGCACTGCTATCTGTACCATGCTTCATTTTATGCCAATCACAATAACCTTGAGGCATTTCCAGAAATTAGCATCATGCTCAAAAGAGCTCTGTGAGCATCAGAAACACTAAGTAGGGGTGAGAATCCAACCCACCCCAATCCCCATCATCCAGCATTTCAGTTCTTCACTTTTTCCCATTTACTTCAGTTCACATTGGATTAGGGGAACACATTACAGCTCTGTTCCAATGTCCAATGTAGTAGAGTAGGTAATGCTCCATTTCTGTGTTGACAGAGTGGGAAGTGCCACCCCTGCCCAATCTCAGTGAAGTGGGGAGTGGCACTTCAGTATTCACTTCTGTATTGAGTGAGTGCTGAATTTGGTAGTGGCTGGGATATCTGGTTAGCAGATCAGCCCACCTCCATTAGATAGGCCACTGTCCATCAGATGATTGTCTGGGTTTTAACATCACAAGCTGTCCAGCTGGGCGATTTCTGGTGTGTGACATGTAGATGGTCACAGTGTCCAGGTCAATGTGACCAGGAGTTCACTGGTCACCCTGCAGCGCGTCCTTCTGTGCTGCCCGTTCTCTGCAAGGCTCTCCTTCTTTGAGTAATATCTAACATCTGTGGACATTGGACACTGATCAAACTTGCGGCGAGACAACATGATAGCTACCTGAGCCGTCGAGAACCGCTCGTACCAGAACAGAACTGCTACCCTCATGCACTGCCCGACGCTGAGGGAACTCTTACCAACCAACAAAGTTGGGAGTGACACCCCAGTCTCATGACCGATGACTCCCACCCGAGCTTACTTGGCTGGGCGCCAGCGCTCGAGTTTGTTGTTCCAACCGTGGTGATGAGGCTGGCCGCAGGCATTGATTACTCTCGATTGCAATGGAGCGCGCCCTGCGAATGGCATATGTAAGCAATCTGCATGTGAGTTGACTGACTCGGTTCGTGGAACCTGATTGAGCCAACTGCACTGAGACTATGCCTGGGTCTGAATTGGTTACTGATGCCTTATTCGGTGCTGGCCGTTGATCTGTTTGTCATATATTGCTATCATTGGCACTGATGGTCGCTGGAGAGTCACATGTCTGACCATGGTTCTTTAGCGGGCCCATTCACCCATGCACGAATGTGATGTGAGTCGATATGCGCCGCGTGCAGACAGAAACTCACTGGGAGGGGCTCGTTTGTTTGCCGAGGCGATGACGTCTGTGATCGGCGGCGTCTTTGTGCCGCTCGTATTGAGATGCGGGGACAAGGCTGATAACCTTGTTTTGAGTTTTAGAACACCGGGCTGGGTTGAATGAGAGGAGCGCCGACAATGCACCGAGTCATTTCGGGCCGTCTCAGCTAACTGCGCCGTCTTATAACCACAGGGTTACGCTATGCGCGGCCTGGCTCTCACGCTGTAATCTTTGCGTACCGCCCGCTGATCTGCGGCGCACGCACACCCTTTGGCACCCATCTCCGCTCTCGCACCCGCCCGTCGACGACCCAGGGTGCGGCCGGGAACTTTTCCCGCTGTGAGCGTGGTCGAGTGCACGTGGGCCCGTTCTGCTGATGGCTATCGCACAACGGGACCCTGTGTGAGTCAGCTCGGTCAGACTGGTGTGGTGACACGTTCTCCCCCACGAAAC